AACAACTGTTGGTGAAGTGATTGTTGACAAAATGGATCAATGTTTTATGTTAACGTTTATTTTTACGTTATCAAATTCACAATTTTGATTGGTCGATCAACAATTGCATGGGTTAAATTGAATCCATTGAATCGTGTATTTTTTTTGTTATTGTGATGCTATGAAACACTTGGCGCAGTGGTATTTTTATTTTTCGACCATCTTGTATAACGTTGTGTGATGATAAATGATTTCATGGTTTGAATGTGCTCATTGTCTGTAAACTTGATTGCTTGATGATGGGCAGGGACGTCGTAGAAAGTTGAGTTCCGTGTGCTGAAATGGCCTGAGAGGAATTTCTCTACAAAAAAAAAGGAAAAAAAAATCTGGGGACGACCGCCCTATTTGTATTTTTTTTTGAATTGATAAAATAGACTATTATTGTCTTGACCCTGAGTGATGCCGTTGTGTGAGTAAAAGGCACGAAGCTCACTGTCATGTTTTCGTTTAAAAACTTGTTAATTAATATCAACGATAGTAAAATTGTACAACATAATAATAATAATAATTATTATTATTATTATAATATAACTAGTGTTCCATGTTGCAATCCAAAAAAGGAAACAAAATGGTTGTAAAGGTGGTTGCAACCAGTGGTTGCAATCGTTTTTATATAACGCAAAGATGGTAGCAACCATCATCAAAAGTTGCAGCCGGTATCCTTAAACCTTGCCACAGTGGATGAACGGTACACGTAAACAAATTTTATTTAAAATCCGTTGTGGCAAGATTACTAAATACTAATATAAATACTAACCTTGCCACAGCAGATTTTTATATGTTTTTACATGTGACATGCAAAGCAAAAATTTTTAAAAATCCGTTATGACAAGAGTTTGATTATTATTATTATTATTAATATATATTACATTTGATCAACCAATAAAAATTATCATAAATCACATGATATGTTTGTAAAGCTCATACATGCATATGTACATACATACATGTACGATACGTGCATGTGTACGTGTATGATTTCCAACCCTGACTGTAGCAATCAACATGATTAATACTTGATCTGGTAACTTGAGTATAAGAGATTTATTGATAAATTTTTAATATGATATTCTTTCTCCATTACTCTATATAACTAATTCACATCTTCATTTCATCGATTTTACTAAATTGATTAACATGCTTTTTTGAATGGCATTCCATTCCTCAACCATAAATCCTGCAGATTTTTTGGAATTCTCTTTTCAACGTTTCTCTTAACAATATTCCAGAGATTCTCAATAGGATTTAAGTCAGGACTGTTTGCTGGCCAGTCCATAATGTCGGGGACATTCTCACTAATGAATGATTGGGCAAGACAGCTAGTGTATTTAGGGTCATTATCCTGTTGAAGCCGCCAATGTCTCCCCATTAGTTCTCGAATCTCAGGAATATGGTTTTCTAGGATTTCAACATAAAATTCTGCGTTCATAATATTTGTGAAACAAAAGAGGCTGGTCTTACCCTTTATAGAAAAGTCTCCCCATGCAAATATTTAGTACGATCTTTTGGAATCCGTCATACAGGTCGCTCACTCTTGTACCATCTTTCAACAGTATTCCTAAAGAGCTGGAATGCTGTCTCGTCAGTAAATATGGTTTTATTCCAGTCATCTTCTAAGTGCTTTCGCGCCCATTCTACTCGTTGTTGTTTATGGGCTTCAGTTAACATTGGGGTGGAGTGCGGTAACTTTTTATTGTAACCAAGACTCGCCAAGTGTGCTGCAATTGTTGTATGTGAGTCCTCTACACCTTTTACAGCCAATTTTGTTTTTATAGAACGCAGAGAAATAGTGGAGTCTCGGCATATATTCTGACCGATGTACCGTGCAATATTAGGGGTGATTTTTTTAGTACGACCAGCCCCTTTCTTATGATCTAAATTACCAATTTTTTCCAAGTTGTTATAGATAGCTCGCATTGGAATCCGTGTTGTTTTGTGGATTTCTTTAGCAGTGCGAATTCCTATGTTCCAAAAATGTAATATATTTTCTTATTGTGTTTTCGGTTTGGATTTAATCATTTTAATAAAAAAATTTTCGATATGTAGTTTTTAAAAACTTTATATTAATAATAAAAATTAAGAGATATTTTTGACGTTTAAAATAAAAAAAGATTATCTGATTTGGCCTGATTTTGGTAAAGTTATATGAATTCAAGTTTTTACGATTTTTTTGCCAATAATTTCTTTACACACTGTACATTTATATAAAATAAAAGACACATACATATCAATACAAATAAAAAAAATACCTACAACCGCTTCAGAGCCAAACCATACCCAACAACATCACTCATGATTTATCATTGAACAATAGAATTGTTTTTCCAAGGGAAAAAAAAAATCAATTCGAGTCTGTCCCAAAAACGAATCTTTGTGCAACACAAAGTCCAATAATAATATTATTAATATTGATTACGTGTTTTTTTTTAAAAAAAAATTAATAAGAACGATGTCTGCTGCAGTAAGAAAAAAAAACAAGGAGTAGAGGAAACATATTTAAGCAATGAAGTAATACATGTAATATCTGATCTTTAATTTTATTTGAAGAGTTAATTTTTGAAAAAAAATTGATCTGAAGGTTTTTCTTTGTAAATATAGTGGAATGAGTGATGTCACACTTGAATTAATGGAATTTCGTAATTCATGTAATGCAGATAGATTTCAATTAAAAGAAACTGATATCTCAGAGATTTTGAAAGTACAAGTCTTCTGTATTTCTTGATTCAGGCTGATATTTACTTACTCTTTTGTCTATGGTAATTGCAAATCTTTGAACCACATTTTTTTATTTGAAGAAAATAGACCAAGTGGAATTCGTGAATATTTTGATAAAATTACATGGGAAGGTATTTTTAACAATAAGGATACCGGCTGCAACTTTTGATGATGGTTGCTACCATCTTTGCGTTATATAAAAACGATTGGAACCACTGGTTGCAACCACCTTTACAACCATTTTGTTTCCTTTTTTGGATTGCGACATGGAACATTATTTAACAATATCAGGAGTGAAATTGAATATTTTGAGCTTTCAGAAGATGATGTTGTAAGGTGCCATAAAATATTTAAGGCAAGGTCTTTTTAAAAAAATCTTGTCAAATATACGATATAATAGTCTTTACTCTCTTTGAATTGACTAAAATCCTTCAAATGTTTGTTTAATCAGATTGCCAATAAAAATTTCAATGAAGTCATGCCGTGTATTAGAGGATGACAAAAATTGACCAAAGATAATGAACATGATTTGGTTTTAGAATTCTTTGAGTCAATGTAAGTATTTACAAGCATATTATATTTTTGCTCATTTGAATTAATTTTGTTTACTATTTTATCATGTTGTAGTCATAATAGCCTTTCAGCAAACATGGATAAAAACATAAAGGAAGATGCCTTTGTTCACAAGACATTGGATTCTGTATTAAAAATTTTTTACCAAGATACTGCAAACACAAAACTCAAATGGTAATTATTTTTGTGTAATAGCTTTTGATATGTGTTTCAATGACAATTATTGATCTTGTCAATTATCATTTTCAGGCCAACTGACGTTTTATAAGCATCTGCTCGTAGGAAAAAGAAGTTGACCCATCACTAAAAGGCAGAATACCAGATTTTTCTGTTGGCTATTCTTACAAAAATAGAAAAGTTGATTTATTAGTTATGGAAGTCAAACCGCCAAGCAAGGATTCCTCTGATTTAGTTAAATTGGGAAATGAACTAAAAGATATTATTGATAAATCTGCTGAAAATGGAATTTGTTATAATGATCTATGTCTAGGTGGATTGTTAGTGGAAGGTAAGAATTATGACTTGAATGAACAGGATTATGAATATAATTTAATCTATGCTTTTTTAAATAATAGGTTACCAATGTTCTTTCTATATAATGGATTTGAAATACGAGGCAGTTTATCGTATGAAACATGTCGGGAAATTTTTTTTGCTCACAATTATTATAATCTTGATACAGCTCCTACAACAATTGAGCTTACGATGCAATCAAAGGTTGGTAAAAAAATTTTTTTAGAATCTCACCTTCAGATATCCTAATCTTTAATGTTTTATGATAGCTTATTTTTACACAATCAGCTAAGATAACACATAAGAAGTTGTCAGATAAGGATGAAGACTCTTTTATTTTAAGAATGAATATGACAAGACAATCATTCCACACACCAATGAAAATACCAAACAATGTTCAAGAAATAAATCTTCAAAGGGTCCTAAAATATAATACTACTAATAATGATTAGTAAATTAAATTTTAACTAAAATTATTTTTAAGAATTGGCTTAGTTTATAATAATCTAATATAGAAACATTCTATTATTATTAATAGAGTTTTTTAATTTGACCCAATTCATTTAATATTTATTGCATTTAAAATTATCTTGATGTTTATTTTTAAAAAATAATCATTTTTTATTTTATTTAAATATTTTAGTGCTTCGCTCATAATAGTAGAGGCAAAAATATTTTCACAATTTAATAATTTAGTAATTCTTTTTAAACAGTGGCATATAATTCTGAGGTTTTGATTATTTGCTTTAGTAAGAAAGTAAAGGCTTGGTAATATTGATTAACCAGTGTAGTTTTAACAACGTGTAGTAAGGTTTTCGCTTAGTAAAGAAGCAAAAGGTTCAAGTTTTTGTTAAACATTTTTGTTGTGTTTAAATGTAAACGTAAGGTGTTAAGATTGATCGCAAAAGTATAGTGTTGTCGTGCTGACAAAAAATCTTGTGTTAAAATAATTGTTGTAAACGTACAGCCGTTAAAAGAAAAGTAGTGGTTAGTTTTTAAACGGTCGAAGAAAAGTAAAAGTAAATAAAAAAAGGAACTTTAGAAGAGCCTTTGTCGCTTTCTAAAAAGGTCGTATTTATCTATTCATTATAAATCGTATCATAAAATGTGCTTAAAACGTAAAACAATCGAAATCAACCAAAGCTACATCGCAATACTAGTCCTATTTAATCCCTGAAATCTTTATTGTCTGTTTTGTTGCAAACGATAAAACAAATAAATAGTGACCAAACAATCAAGTATTGCTCGGTGTGAAAATTTATGTTGACTAGAAATGCGTACAAATTGACAAAATTTATTATTATTAATGTATAATACTAATTTGATCACTATATTAATATATACAATATATGTATAGCATACGACATATATATATACAAAAAAAATATATTAATATAAATGATGTAATAATATGGTTATTTTACCTAATAAGAAATGGTAAAATGTTCCCTTGATTTTATATATTTTGAAGTTTTTTCATTTTCTATTTTTTTTTCCTCCTTAAAAATATTAAAAATAAACAAACATGTATAAAAATAGCAAATGTATATCACTGTTAATATTAAAAATACCAATAAATAAATTGATTTTTTTTTTCTTTATTTTTCTTTAAAATACGCGAAAATTTTTGTTTTTTAATAGTAAATGATCATAAAATATGACTGAAATCCAAACAAATCATAATATAAAAGAAAATTATGAGCTTTTTGCTAATAATTTTTGGGTATGTTGATAATGTTGATAATGACGATGATAATCCCCAAGTATTTTTATTGATTTATTTATTTATTTAGGGTAAAGACGAAGTAGGCTATGAGACTATTATGTTACGTTTAAGACAAGCTAAACAAACATGTGAAGATGTTAAACACATGTTTCATGAAAGGTTTATTTAATAAATATTAATATATATACACATACGTAAACAAAACTTTACTAATAATCTTTTATTGGATAAAGATCGTTGATCGAAGAGGATTATGCTAAAAGATTAATGAAACTTTCTAAAAGTTCATTTGGAAAAGATGAGACTGGGTACATAGTACTTTTTATCATTTCATGTCATATTTCATGTCAGAAAATAACATAATATATATATATATTTATTTAGAAATCTTCGGGATGCATTAGAAACCACAAAGCAGGAAATTGAAATAACTGCAAAAGAGCATTTAAATCTTTCTCAAAAAATTAAAAGTAAACTTGAGCAAGAATTGAATGATTTTCTTTTAAAACAAAAAGAACAAAGAAAATCACAACAATCAATAGCAGAAAGAAGTCTACGTAATAAACTCAATCAAGCAGTTTTACTACAAAAGGTCGTCTATTATTAATATTATTCTATCATTTAAAGAAATTATTATGTAAAATGTATGTATGTACATTATAAATATAAATATTTATATATTTATCATTCCATCTCAAAAAAAAAAAGGCAAAAGAAAAATATGATGGAGAATGTGTAAAAGTGACAGGTCTATTGGCATCCAAAAATTCGGTAATTGGAAAAGAATCTGATAAATTATCTTTGAAAATCGAAAGAACTCAAATCAATGTCAATACTGCAAGTCAAGAATATAGGCAATTAGTTAAAATTATGAATGATATTAACGATAAATGGATTTATGATTGGAAAATTGCTTGCGATGTATGTAAATATTTATTTATTTTGAATGATAATAATTTTTTGAACTAATTTATAAACAATTGTTAAATATTATAAATTTGTTGTAGAAATTTCAAACTTTGGAAGAAGAAAGAATAGAACATATAAAAAAATATTTATGGGTTTATGCAAATTTTATTTCAGAAGTCTGTGTTGTAGATGATCAGGTATTATTATCTTTATCTTACAACAACAACAATAATAATAATAATCGCTTATAATATTATTTATAATAATAATAATTACTATTAAAAAATAAGTCTTGTGAAAGGATAAGAGTTGCATTAGAATCTTGTGAAGTTAATAATGAAATACAACTGTTTATAAAAGAACATGCTACCGGCTCTGATCTCCCAGGTAATCATCGTCATCATCATCATCATCATCATCACCATCACCATCATTCTGTTTTTATTATTATTTTTGTTCTTTATTAACACATATTTATATATATAGAATCACCAGCTTTTATAAATTTTTTCTCGGGTAATAAAGAAAATGACACGATAACAAGTAAAAGAGCTTCATTTGGTAGAATAACCGATTTACGTAATGAATCGTCGTCATCATCATCAAAGAATCATTATATACAACAACTTCAACAAAAATTTTATCCAACTGAAGACACTAACAACATTTCTATTGATGGTGATGATAATTATAATAAATTAAATGATGACAGAGCTTCTTTATACGCAAATACAATTTCTTCTTCAAACCTAATCAAAAACAAAAATGAATTTTCGCAAACTCCAGTTGATGATGATAAAATTGAAGAAGAGGAGGAGGAACCAATTGATCCAAGATCAAAAAAAATGCTTTCAATTGGTAATAATGTTTTTGAAGTCGATCCAAATTGCAGTCTTGATGATAACAAGAAGTCCTTAGAAAATGATCCAATTGTGCATGCTTTAAATAATTTGAAAATTACTGATGCAACTTCTGATAAATATCATGATGATGATGATGAACAACAATCAGTCATAACTAACCTAATCAATAATAATAATAACAACAACAACAACAACAACAACAACAACAATGATAATGATAATACAAAATTTGACTCTAAATCATTTAGTCAAAATCCTTTATCAATTAATCGATCTTATGGGACAAGAAAGCCAATGCCTGTTTTAGATAAACCTCAACCACCAACACCAGTTACCAACAATATTATTAATCAAAATCAAAATCATAATTCTGGGTATATTGATCATCGCCATAAACTACCTGAAATTCCTACTAATACCAATACCAATAATATTAATAACAACAATATTAATAACAGTTATAATAATAACAGTTATAATAATAACAATAACAACAGTTATAACAGTTATAGTGATAATAATAATTCCAATATAAGTTCTTTGGAACAACAAATAGCCCCTAATCAATATAACACTAATACCAACTCTAACAACAGCACTTATAATACCACTACCATCACTACTAATGCGACGAAAAATACTATCTACTCGCCTCCATCTTTATCTTCATCTCCATCGCCATTCTCTTCTTCACCAAATCTTGTTTATCAACAACAACCACCACCACCATCACAACAATCGTCAAATTCACCTTACCTAAATCCAATTCAAAATTCATCGGCTACAAAAATTATTCCACCATCATCATCTACTAGCAATCTAATTTCTGGTCCAGGTGATTTAAGACGTAAATCCTTATCTTCTACAGATCATGGTCCTATTTCATCACAACAACAAGATATTAAAGAAAACATGGCTAATATGCGTCCACATACTCCACTATTAAATAATCAACCTAGTAACAACATAATACAAGGTCCAGGTGATTTAAGACGTAAATCTTTATCTTCTACAGATTATGGTCCTATTTCATCACAACAACAAGAAATCAAAGAAAACATGTCTAATATGCGTCCACATGATCCACTATTAAATAATCAACCTAGCAACAACATAATACAAGGTCCAGGCGATTTAAGGCGTAAATCCTTATCTTCTACAGATTATGGTCCTGTTTCATCACAACAACAAGAAATTAAAGAAAACATGTCTAATATGCGTTCGCACACTCCACTACTAAATAACCAACCTAACAACAACATAATACAAGCTCCAGGTGATTTACGTAAAAGATTGTCAATTTCAACTTCAGCTTCAACTTCAATTACTGCTATTGCCGCCAATAATATTATTAATCAACAACAACAAGATAATTTAGTTACAAATCGTCGTAGTTCTTCGCCTAATAGTCAACAACAACGAAATACATCACCAGTTATCGGGAACAATAATAATAACAACAATAATAAAATCGAAAGATCTGATACAATAAAAACTTCTACTACTAGTAGTAGTGGTTCAAACTCATTAGGGATATTACTTGATGCTCAAGGCCGTGTTAAGCAAGATGATCTTGCTGAAGCATATTTTAAAAATGGTGGAAAATTACCACCCGAGTCTGCTAAATTTCAACAATTGCCACCGCAACCGCGACCACCTCCAGCTGCACAAAATAAACAATTCTATAATAATAGTTATAGTAATAAAAGTAATAATAATATTAATTCATCAAATCAACCTATATTAGAATCTAATAATAGAAACATTCCATTAAGTCAATCACCCTCGTCATCATCACCGCCATCCCATATTCCAGGAATTTTACCCAACAATCATAGCAACTACAAAAACATACAATCTCAATCGTCCATTCGTGAAATGCAAAGAAGTAATACTATAAAAACAACATCATCACGATTATCTTCATATCAACAATTCAATTATTATAATAATACATCTACAGTTCCTCCTCATCCTCAAAATAATGCTTATCAGCAACAACCTCCTTACCAACAACAGCCATCTTACCACCAACCTTATCAAAATATTAATCAATCTTTACCAAGGTCTCAACCTCAACTACAATCTTATAATTCACTTGCACTTCAACAACAAAATATGAATGCTTCTAAACAAAATATTCAAAGTAGACCACCGCCACCGCAACAACAACAACAACAACAACAACAACAACAACAACCACAACAACCACAACAACCACAACAACCACAACAACCACAACAACAACAACAACAACAACCACAGAAACCAAAGGCGCGATATATGGAAGATGGTAGATTGATTCAATTCTACGGTAAACATTAAAATATTATAAATATAATCGATGGAATTAATACCAATCATCTATTTATATTTATTTATTTAATAATTTGATTAAATATTTAGTTGAAACTTTATATGAATATGAAGCAACAATTCCAGAAGAAATTTCATTTAATGCTGGTGATATAATCGCTGTTCTGGGGACTTTTCCTGATGGTTGGTGGGAAGGTGAATTATTATTAGATGGTAATGATAACGCAGAAAAAAGAAAGAAAAAAAGAGGTTTATTTCCTAGTAATTTCACAAAAGTATATGAAAGATGATGATGATGATGATGATGATGATGATGATGATGATGATGATATACATTTATTTATTTATTTAATTTCGTATTAATTCATTAAATATATACATTTTATTGTAATTTAATAATTATTATTAAAAATAATTCATGGTACAACTTGAATACCCATTCCTTTAGCTGTTGCTATAATTGATTTACAAATACTTTGTAAACTTGAACGTTTTAAATTTTCTTGATTATGTTTTATCAATGCTATTTCATAAAGTTCTTTCAAACTTATTTTACCAACCCATTCATGACCTGCTTTACTAGCCCCTTTTTCAATTTTAGCAGCACGTTTCAATAGCCAAGTAATAGGTGGTAAGTTTGTCTCGAAAGTAAAAGTTCGATCGGGATTAATTTTTATACGAGTAGGAATGAGAGTTCCCACTTCGAACTTTTTCGTACGCTCGTTAAACAATTTACAAAATTCCATTACTTTTATACCACGCTGACCTAATGTAGCACTAAGTGGTGGTTGTGGTGTTGCTTTTCCAGCTGGTATTAAACATTTTACTTGAGCAAGTTTTCTTTGAGCTGCTGCTGCTGCTTTAGACATTTTTTTTTTTTTTTTGCTATAACAAATAACGATAATCAAAAAAAAAAATTTAATTTTATAAACAAAATAAATCATGTGATTTCCATCTCTTTATATAAAAAAAAAAGTAAACTGAAAAAAAAAAATCATATTTAATAAAGATCAATTGAAAAAAAATGGACTTTCAAATGTACAATGATGCTGAAAGAGCTCATATTCAAAAATCAATTGAGCAAAAACAGGTAAAAAAAAAAAAGGAAATGTATTTAATTTTAATTTTTAAATCCTTCCTTACTTATTATTTATTTATTACTATTACCATAATATAAAAAAAGGTTAGAGATTTGATGAAATTTTATACGAATTTGGTAGAAAGATGTTTTAACGATTGTATTAATGATTTCACATCAAAAGCATTAAATACAAAAGAAGTATGTGTATATTTATATATAGATATATATATTACTAGTATACACCACTTCACTATTAAAAATCAAATTAAAAAAATATCTTTCTTTTTTTAATTTAATCTAAGGTTACATGTGTGAATAGGTGTGCAGAAAAATTTTTAAAACATAATGATAGAGTTGGACAACGATGGGCAGAATTAAATCAACAAATGGTACAACAACAAATGGAACAATCTTCTCAACAAAGTAATAGTGGTGTTGGTAGTGCTGGTGTTGGTAGTGTTGGTGGAGTTAGCAGCGGTGGTGGTGGTTGGTTTGGTAGATAATCAATCAAATAAATAATTTAAAAAAAATAGAAGTTTTTTTAAATTCATATTTTTATTAGTTGAAAAAAAAATTTTTTTGAATTAAAATAATTAAAAAAAAAAATAATTAAATCAAAAAAAAAATAAAAAAAAAATAATGGATGATTAAATATAAATAAATAAATAAATATATATGTAATTTTAATCATTGTCATTTTGCTTGTAAATATTGTTTCTGACAATTAATAATAAATTTATTTACAAAAATATATTTCTAATAAATTATTTATTTATCAATTAATCCACACCAATCTACCCATTAAACCCATCCATATATATTAATTCAATTATCCATTCACACATTTTGTCAAATCTATCAATCTATATGTTTATTATTATTTTATAGTTTGGCACCATAAAATTGCGCAACCTTTAAAGATTGTCTAACACCAAGATCAAGCATAATTTCTTCTGAACCACCTGGAATAGCATAGGCACGTACTTCACGATAAAGACGTTCAACCTTTTCAGCTTGACTGTTTCAAAAGAATAAAAAAATAGTTAATATCCAAAATATATAGTATGCATGTAGTTTCTTTAAAGGATTTTTTTATTTACCCTCCACGAGTATATGCTAAACCACCAAAAATTTGAGCAGCCTCACGAGCACAATATTCAAATGTTTGTGTAGATTGAGCCTTTAATAAAGCAATTGGACCTCCAAGTCTCGTCATTGCTTCATTACCGGACATATGATTTGTTTGATAAATTAAAGTTTCCATCCAAGCATGTGTTGCTTCAATTTTTCTTGCCATGTGTGCAAGTTTATTACGAATAACAGCATGATCAACAAGTTTTTGTCCAAAAGTTTTACGCTTGTGTGCATATTTCATTGCTTCTTCATAACAAACACGTGCAAACCTTGTGGCTTGTATAGCAATACCCATACGTTCATGATTAAAATTGTGCATAATACACTATGTAAAAATAAAAATAAATTATATTTAATTATTTAATTGAATTTTTTCTCAAAAAAAAAAAAAAAAAGAAAATTTTTTATTTATGAATTACCTTGAATCCACCATTTTCTTTACCAACAAGGTTACGTTTTGGAACTTTTACATCATCAAATGTGATATATGCTGTACCAGATGACCATACACCAGAACATAACATTTGACGAGTATTAACACCTGGCATTGTTCTTTCTATTAAAAGAAGAGAAATTCCACCCATGCCAGGACCTCCAGTACGGACCGCAGTAGTGAAATAATCAGCAAATGTACCATTGGTTATCCATTTCTTTTCACCATTTACAATATAATGTTGACCATCATCAGATAATTTGGCTTCAGTTTTAATATTTGCTACATCGGATCCAGCGTATGGTTCTGTAATAGCAAGACAGATGTTTTTATGACCAGAAAGACATTCAGGTACAACTCTTTTCTTTAGTTCTTCACTACCAAATTTAAGAATTGGTGGAAGTCCAATACCCAAACCTTTTTTTTTTTTTTTGAAAAAAAATATATAAAAATAATTTTATTATCATCATAAATGGTTTGTGATTTTTTTTTTAAAAAATTCTCTTAATTAATAAGTGAAAACATACCACCAGTCAAACCCCAAAGAATACCACCCGAACCACAACGAGCCAATTCATCAGAAAGAACAAATTCTGCGAAATGATCAAAGTCTTCAGGTTTAATTCCACCAACGGGAGGTTTATCGGTATAACTAATAAGAATTGTTTAACAAATAGACAAAATTTTATGTGTAGATGAAATAGTTTGATTTAATTGAATCGTATATATAATACATAAACAATAAATACGCACATAGATAAATGTAAATACTTGTATATATACATACGCTGTTGGCCATGGTGCACCTACAACACCAGCTAAAATACCGGCATCAGCCATTTTTATGAATAATTCTTTAGGAATTCTTTTAGCTTCATCCCATTCATAAGCATAAGGCATAATCTCCTTTTCAACAAATACTCTTACAGCAGCGCGTACACGACGATGGTTATCATTATAGTATGGACTATAGAAATCTTGATACCAATAAGGATCGCCATGAGGTACAAGATCACCAAATGGACCATCTCCAGAAAAGGCTTCATCGATTGTTTCTTCAGTTGGCCCAGAACCAATTTCACCAATACATAATTGAGAAGAATATTTTTCTAATGTGGACAAATTATGAAAATTATCAAATTGCTTTGTGGCATCCACACCAGCAACTTTCAATAAAACTTTTTTTCCGCCAGGATGATCACTAAGAAACTTTGTTACATCAAAAACTTTCTCATGAACTATGATCCAGATGGAATCCTCGGTGTTATGTTGAGCAACTTCTTCTATGGTGTATGTTTTAGTCATTTTTTTAAGTTAATTACTTTGAAAAGGCAAAAGGTGTTGGTGTTTGTTTTATTTTTTATTTTATTAAAAAAATTAAAAAATTTTGATTGCTTGTCTGCACACTTTAAATTAAAATTTCGTTAATCACATGATTAATATCTTGTAAAACGTATTATATTTAACTTGACTCAGCAGTATTACACAAAACCTCTAAATTTTATAGTAATGGAGACTTCCGATAAATAACAATGTAATCATAATTAGATAATTAGTCCAAAAATGTAGATTTAAATTTTCTTTTTAGTGTAATTTTATTTGTCAGGATCTTTGTAAATCCTCTTCTCTGCATTCTTATAGATAGGGGTTCTTTTCTAAAGGGCGCAAGATGCAACTCTGGGATGTCTTTCTCCAAAGGAAAGTAGATTGCAAAATTACCAACATCAAGTTTTCTTCTTTGTCCTAATACTATAATCTATTGTTACCTACCATCTGTCAGAAGAAGCTAAATTCTCTGTTGTTTCCTCACTGAATTGAGAAATTACAACATTCATCCCAATCACAGATAACCTTTACTTCTCGGCCTTTCCTTTTTACTTGTTCTTTGATAAACAATGCAGGCAATTGATGTTGATTAAGTAAATAAACTGCATCACCCAAACAATAATACTAAATAATAATAAAGTTTTGGTATTAGGTTTGATGAATTGTTATTGGGGAAAGTATATTACTATACCTAGGAACACTCTAACCCAATTTCAAAAACCTACTGGATTACATTATAGGAAATTCTCCCAAATGAAAATTAAAAAATTCAAAAAGTTCAACGCTTAAAGTAATTAATGCAATTTAGATATCCAAGCGTTGGGTAAATGTATTGCTACACACAGAAACATTCTGACCCAACTTTGCTTCTGGAATTTGGATTTCAAAACTCACAGGATGGTTGCTAAATACCAGGTGTACTAGATCGAGCGTGGTGTAAGACGTTCTTTGAAAGTTAGGTTACTAATTGAATACAATAACGACGTATAATTAAAGACGGAGGAGTTATTTATTTTATTTAATAATAGCGAACTTTCTAGGCCAATTATTTCAACTGAAAACCAAGCTGATAGCTTATAATATTTTTTTTAAAAAATATTAATATGACGACGAAGTGTCCTGCAAATAATTGCAGGATACAAATTCAATACCACTTTGTTAGAACGGTTCAAGCTTGACTGGATTGAAAATCCAATTTCTAACATACAAAATACCTTTTAGACAACGCGCAGTTTATGTATGAATATTAGTAAACTTGATATTCTTTTGGTTACGATATTATTATAAACTGAACCATTAATGAATTATATCAACATTTTTTGGGATACACGGATATATGAACAAAATGCAAGGATTCCCCTTTCCGCGTTTGGCTTCAAGGACAGTAAACAGTGCATATCCTTTGAAGTCAAAGTTTTAATCTGTGTAAATTGATATAATAAAACTTTCGACAATAGCACTTTTCTTTGCTTTAAAAGGTGGTTGTTCTTTTTCATTCTTGTCCTTTCACCATCTGACGTATCATTTTGGTCTTTAGTGAAATATTTTCTATTTTTCTTTTTGCCATAATAAGTACATGAAATTTAAAAATGTTCTACTGTGAATTAATCCAAAAAAAAAGGCAAGTCAGCTTTAATCTAATCACAAGTAAATAAATAAATTAAATCTTTTTTTTAACTTACTTAGAGGGTCTGAGACACTCTTATCCATTCTTTTATTATTATTATGGAAAGTTTTTCTTTGATTGATTTTATAAATTATAATACAAATAAATAGTTGGATGACAATTTATAATTTGCCAAGATTATCTTTATAAAAAAAAAATCTTGATTTCCATTTTTTTATAATTGATACGCGCGAATATAACAAAAAAGAATATTTAGAGCATCATTTCCACAAGACAACATTTGATAGTTCACTGATTCATTGATTGGCTCATGATGTAGATATAGCACATTTGAAAAACAGGTCAAAATATTTGATTCAATTTTAAAGTATTTTAACCATTAACTTGATTGATTATTGCTTAAAAGATTGAAAAGATAATGGTGATGATGGGTTTTGATTGATTGAATCGAGATTTAACAATGTATTTGGAAATTATATTTTTTGAAAAAACAAATATATATTAGTTGATGATTCTTAGTAATTGGTATTATATGTACTTTTGTCTTGTATTAATATAGATAGGTAACAAAAATAATGGTTTGATACAAGGTTGGCAATAGACCCAGGTCCATCGAGACCAACGAGTTTTGGTCTAGTCCATTGCCATTGGTTAGTATTAGAAAATTTTTACCTCTTTAGCATATAACACGTCAAATAAAATTGATAACTTTGAATCTTTACAAAAATCTTTTTACTAATATAAATGAAAAAAATTCTCGGACAGGCTGTTAATTGGGTGTTTGGAAATACAATTGCGGAAAGATTATTCCCACAGCTTGCTTGGTTATCAAGCCTTTACATTTTAAAATTTATCTAAATCAATAAAATTGATAATATTAATGTGAATATATACTTTAATTGGAGTCAAAAGATGTTTTAATTTTAAAAGTCTTAATAATAATTTATGTTTTTCATGTTGTTCTTCTTCTCATTGTTATTATTAATATAACTAATGTTGTGCGAACAGCACCTTTTGCAGATGTACATTATTTATTTATTTAACTTTATTTAGTAGAAGAAATTAACATAGATTTAGTGCTTTGCATTTAAAGCACTATTCGGGATTAAGTCGCTGGCTGAATCGGGAATTACATGAGAAGTGCATCGCTGAATAACTAAAGTGTAACATTGTAAAAGTACTGAATAGTAATAAAAGTGCTACTAATTAACTTAATTGTATATAATTGTAAAACACTTTCTTATAACTTAAATCACTAAACAAAATTATTCATTAATAAAAACTAATTTGTTAGCCTCCCAATCATAATTGCATAAATGTAATGAAGGAGATAAATTATTATCTAAACTAGTTGATGAATTAGCTTGTTCAATAAATTTTTTTAGTGGACGATTTATATAGAATGATTCTTGATGATGTTTATAAGTTTTTTCATCTGACAAATATTTTTCTGAAGTGATAATTTCTTGACGTTTGTCTTCTGCCAATTTAATACTTTCTTTTTCTTCTCTATAAAATCCATTATAATGACAATATTTACCTAAACATTCACGAATTTCGCTAAAATCGGGTCGATTTTCTGGCATGGGATCCCAACATTTTTTCATTAAATCAGCATAGAATTGGGGTGTGTCCTCAGTAACTTCGGGCCGTTTTCCTTTCAAAATATCCAAAATAAGTTTAAAATTATGTGATCTATCATAGAATGGTTTTTTTCCTGTAGTATATTCCCACATGATCATACCAAAACTATAAACATCTGATTTTTTTGTATATGGTTTTTCTGATAATACTTCAGGTGCCACATATGGCATGACTCCAAAGATTTCGTCTGGATGTTCTGTTTTATTTATTACTTGTTGACACAACCCTAAATCACCTACAACGCACATATCATTTCCATATGAAAAAATATTACCACTGTGCAAATCATGATGAATGTAATCATTATCATGAATATTCTTTAATCTAATTTATAAATAAATAAATAAATTAAATCATTTATTTATTTTAATAAAATATGATAAATTAATAAAAATTACCCATCTGAAATCCGAAAAAGTGATGTAATTTTATCTTTCCAAGTAATTTCTTTAAAACTTTTTGATAAATGGGTATGTAAATCTCCATTTGGGGCATGCTCAAATACCAATATGTAATTATTTTCATTTGGATCTTTTGTAATTCCAAAACATTTATTAACAGAAAAATAAAGTATATCATTTGCTTCTAACTAAAAAGTTATAAAATAATATTTGTTATGATTTAATAATATTTTATGAAAAATAATATCTTTCAAACTTTTACCTCATTGCAAATGTCTAAAATAGAATTAAACTTATTTAATTTTTTCAGCACAACCCTTTTTTCCCCAAATTTATTAATAAATGGTTCACTATAGTTAATCCATGTTGCTATATAAACCTTACTAAACCCACCTTTGTCTAAATACTTCACATCTTTAAGTTCATCAAATGGAATCCATTTAACAGTCTTTGAATCTTCTTTATATCGATAAAGAAATCTATCTATTTCATTTCTATATTTTTTAGTTGAACAGCTATCGCACAATACTTCGCTGTTTAATTGATCATCTAATTCTTTTACTATTTTTAAACTAATATTTAAGGGTTCTTTCAATAGGTCAATTAATTTATTAAGCAAGCCATCATACTTATTATTTTCTACACAATAAATGCAATCATATATTATATTTAATACTTTAAGCAATTTGTTTGATAAATCAATCAATCCAACTAATTCTTCGCCATTTATTTTTTTTAATTCATTTAGCCTATTATTTAATTCATTGACTTTTAATTTTAATTTGTTGGCTTTTAATTTGTCATCAACATCAACATCAGCATCAACAACAACAACATCATCATCAGACATTACAAATCTGTCAACAACATCAACACCATCATCATCAGACATTACAAATCTGTCAGCAACAGCAAATCCAGTATATATAGTGAAGTTCTCTAAGGAGGCTTGGTAATCACGATGATAAGAAGTTGGTAAATATAAATATTTTAAATTTCTGCAAGTTATTGTGATTTTTTCAATAAAAAGTTCAAGTGAATTTTCGTCAGGATTGCCTTCAATGACAATAACTTTTAGATTTGACCCATTTCGGCCAATAAACTGAATAAGATCATCTATATCACCTTCGGCATTAAACTGAAAATGAAATTCTTCAAGTTGTGGAAATTTAGCATCCTTGAAACTAGTCATTGAAATATTCCCATCATCATAATGATTAAATAGGTACAGTTTTTTCATGTTTGTGAATTCTGCTCCTTCTTTCAACATTTCATCCATAGTGTGAATGTAGCCTCTGAATTCTATTAATGAACCTGATTTACCCAATAATGCCTCCAATGTAGTTCTAAATAAAGAGCAATCTTGTTCTACAAGAAGATGCATTATTTTTAATTCAGATTGCTGACTTATCAGTTCACCTAGTCCATCACCAGCCTCATCGGATTTTTTTATTTCAACACTTAATTTTTCAATTTTATTAGCAATTCCAACGAAATTATTCAATAAACCGGGCGAATCTGTATTATCGTAATTATAATGCAATATTTTAATATTTTTAAAGTGAAGGCCTGAATTTTTATGAAAATTATTTGGCAGATAAGGAATTGTCAAATAATCCAAATAAATTTCCTTGATTTTGGCAGATTTTAATATCAGATTTACCAAATTTTTAATTAATAAATTTGCATGGAGTCTTTTTAAATCTTTGCTGATATTTTCACCTTTTACTAATTCCGAATATCCCTCAAAAATAGCCAATCTTTTAGCGAATGCTGCATAATTGTATAGGGGTTTTGTTAGATCTGCTTCTAACAGCTCGAAGTTTAGTTGAACGTCATCTTTTCTTAAAAGAGTTCTGCGTTTTGAATAGTGCTTTAAGCAGTTTATCAATATTTTAACGCTGCCTTTTGATTCAAATGGTTTTCTCCATAAAAATTTTACACAGTAGTTACTCCAACGCCTATCTACTAAACAACAAGAAAAAAGAGTTGGTTTGCCCCCTCCCAAGTATACGTATTTAAAAACATTAGCCAATAATTCTGGTGATAATAATAATGGGTTCATTGTTTTACTTTTTTTTTGGAAATTTCGTCAAGCTTTAATACTTTTCTTATATACAAAAAAACTTATTTGAATTCTAAAAATATTAAAACTTTTAAAGTTTATTGTTACTGGTAAAGCGGATCCGATTGAATATTATTAAAGAACACTATTACTATAACAGAAATTCCATTTTTCTGATCTTCTATAGAACAAAAAATTAGAAAAATATCAAAGAAAAAAATTATTGTTTCATGTGTTAACTTCGGTGAAATCCGTATAAACAGACGATCAGTCTTATTTCTATCGTAATTGTAAATTTACTAATTTAGAGAATGATGTGCTGGATGCTGTAAAACTTATTCTGCCATTTATTTATTAACACTTTCAAAATATTCTTTATATTCCTGGGATATTCTTTTCAAACTTATATACATTACATGGACAAAGGTCGTGCACACGTTTAAAATTAATAAAAAAATTACATTGTAGTATAGTTTCATCAAATTGTTTTCATTTTCTAATATTTTTATTGAACTAACAATTAAAAAATCAATTTTTTTTCGTCAAAACAATGCTCGCTTGAAAAAAATTATGCTTATTTTTACGAAATACGAATTCCAATAAATTAAATAACACTCAAATAATAACCAAAATGCTACTTAAAATCCAAAGATAAATGATAAATAATAACGGTAGTAAATAATAATAATAATAAAAACGATAATGCCAATAATAAAATGAAAAACTGATTGATAATAAATAATATAATGAAAATGCTAATATGATTATAAAAAATAAGTGATGAGTTAGTGAAGGTTACTGCCAATCTCCGCCACCACTATACGAATCCAATAAAACTCCGCTGTTAACATCAATATTAATATAATCAGCATCATCAGAATTATCCGAATCATCCTCAACAACAACAACACCTACTGTATTTCGTTGGTCGATTTGAGCAAAGTTCGATCAATATTTGCTGGAAGATTATTCTCGATTGTCTTTAAATGATATCTGGGGTGACAAAAGTAGCTTATGTTTTTCGAATTATTTGTGCGAAATTTCATTTCCATAAAAATTTTATACAGTGTTCAAAAAAATCAAACTTTGATCAAAAAATTTCTCATTTCTTTGTCAAAAAAAAGATAAAACTGTCGCCAAAAAAATAATTAATAAATAAATTCATAAAGAATATATGTACGGTACGAATTCAGTATTTTGTTTGCCATCAATTATTGCTCCGACACGCTCCCAATAAATTTCATTAAGACATCATTTAAAATTCGATAATATTTTCGGGGTTTTTGGCGCCTTCTATTTCCTCTTTCCATTCTGACCATGAATGCTCAATTGGATTCAAGTCAGGTGACTAGCTTGGCCAATTAGACAAAACGTTAATCTCATTTGTTGAAAACCAATTTTTTATGGTATGAATAATCTTGGTACAAATGACCCTGTTATTAAATATTTTTCAGCCGAAGGTAGAAAATTGGTTTCTAGTATTTGTATATACCCTAAGCTATTTAATTTACAATCTATTTTCACTAATGTGCATAAACCCTTTCCCGAAAAACAACTACACATCATCAAACCTCTATCTCCAAATTTTGCAACAGGAGTCGTGATTTCAATATTAAATCTAGGATCACAAGTTCTCCAAACGCGTCTCGGTTCATCATTTTTATATATTGTGAGCCTACAAAGTAGTATTTTCTATTTGTCTATGTAGTGTGTAAATATATACGATGTTCTAATTATATATACTGTCATAATAATATGTGATGGATATTATTAATTATATTGTATGTGGATATTATATATATTGTTGATTATATTATATGTTGATATTATATATATTGTTGATTATATTATAAGGTGTTATTATATATATTGTTGATTATATTATATTATATGTTGTTGATATTATATATATTGTTGATTATATTATATTATATGTTGTTGATATTATATATATTGTTGATTATATTATATGTGATATTATATATTTTTTAATAAAATGTGTGATATTATTATATATATTGTTAATGTTCATTATATTATATTAGATAAATCAATTAAATATTTTCATCTCTTTACAATAAATACGAATTTTGCCTAACTATAACCTTTAAAGCTTTCAAATTAAATTTCCTCTTTAACGATCTTTAGCCCAGCACAATTTTCAGACAACTGATCTAAAAAAGTCTGATAATCATGGTGATATAGGGGTCGATAAACGTTTTAAATTTCTGCAAGTTATTGTGATTTTTTCGATGAAAAGTTCAAGTGAAATTTCGTCAGGATTGCCTTCAATGACAATAACTTTTAGATTTGACCCATTTTGGCTAATAAACTGAATAAAATCATCTATATCACCTTCAGCATTAAACTGAAAATGAAATTCTTCAAGTGATGGAAATTCAGCATGCTTGAAATAACTCATTGAATTATTCTCATCATCATAATGATTAAATAGGTTCAATTTTTTCATGTTTGTGAATTCTGCTCCTTCTTTCAACATTTCATCCATAGTGTGAATATAGCCTTTGAATTCGGTTAACAAGCCTGATTTACCCAATAATACCTCCAATGTAGTTCTAAATAAAGAGCAATCTTTTTCTACAATAAGGTGCATTATTCTTAATTTAGATTGCCGATTTATCAGTTCACCAAATCCATCACCAGCCTCGTCAGGTTTTTTTATTTCAACACTTATTTTTTTTATTTCATTAGCAATTCCAACAAAATTATTCAATAAACCAGGCGAATCTGTATTAACATAATGGAATTCTCTGATATTTTCAAAGTGAAGTTCTCGATTTTCATGAAAGTTATTTGGCAGATAAGGGATTAAATCACCTAAATAAATTTCCTGGATTTTGGCAGATTTTAACATCAGATTTACCAAATTTTTAATTAATAAGTTTGCATGAAGTCTTTGTAAATCTTTGCTGATATTTTCTCCTTTTACTAATTCCGAATATCCCTCAAAAATAGCCAATCTTCTAGCGAATGCTGCATAATTGTATAGGGGTCTTATTTGACCTGCTCCTAACAATTCGAAGTCTAGTTGAACGTCATCTTCTCTTAAAAGAGTGCCGGGTTCTGAATAGTGCTTTAAGCAGTTTATCAATATTTTAACGCTGCCTTTTGATTCAAATGGCTCTCTCCATAACAATTTTATACAGTACTTATGCCAACCCTTATCTACTAAACAACAAGAAAAAAGAGTTGGTTTGTCCTCTTCCAAGTACAAGCGTTCAAAAATTTCAGTTAATAGTTCTGGGGGGAATATTGTGCTCATTGTTTTTATTTTTTATTTTTTATTTTTTATTTTTTGGAAATTTTATCGACGCTTATCGACGTTCTTATATATAAAAAAACTTATTTGAATTCTAAAAATAATATTTTCATATTAAAACTTTAAAACTTATTGTGACTGGTAAAGAGAGTCCGTTTATTCCATTCCGACTTCTTTACAGAAAAAAACAGTTTTGTCTCGCCAGGCTATAAATAACATCGATTGTTAGCATTCGGAACTGAAAATCCCCAAACAATGATCGATTTCCTATTTTTATATTAATTTTTATTATTTGTAACAACTAAATTTTTTTTTTTCATTTTAATCTTGCTATTTTTGAGAATAAAAAATTCACACTTTTTTTTTCTTTCCTTTTATAATAAACTTCAACGAAAATTCTTTAGAAACTTTCAAATTACTCTATAAAACAGTCATTCATTTTGCTAAAAGGGATCTTTACATTTAAAAAATTACATTCAAAGAATATTCTTTACATTTAAAACATTTAAAAATTATATTTACCATGTACTTATGCATTTTTCCAAAGAATATCCTTTGCATTTAAAACTACATTCAACTAGATACAAAATCCTCAAATTATTACCTAAACTATAATTAATTATTAGCAATAGTAAATTGTTGATTATGATTACAAAAGTTACCAGATTTAATCGATTTTATTATACTAGAGTCAACGACTTGAAACATCAATTATTTAATTGCCAAAAATTACAAGACTGAATATGGTACTGTAGAAAAATTGCCATGACGAATGATAACGATATTTGGACAATTAAAGAAATTAATAGAATGGTAAGCGTAATTATTATTATCACTGTCATTCCTTATTTTGGAAAACTTTATAACCCTAGGATGATAGCTTTTTTATATGTAATGTTTTAGAGTCGCATTCAAATGAGTCAAGAAATCAAAAAATGGAACTTAAATCTTATTTATATATTAAAACTAAATAACAACAGTATGCTGGTCACTTTATTTTTATTTATTAAAAATACAGTATATAATGTATAAATATGTATGATTCTACAATCCTCTGAACTAGAAGATTTCAATTGATATTGAACTTGGTATTTATAAATGCAATTAGTAAGCATAAATAACTACATCAAAGCTGCAACACTGTCTTCATCATCAACATCCCGCGTTCTACATAGTAAAGAGCATCATTATAATTTCATTATATTGGAGGTTGCTTGAAAGAGTCAGATTGGAAATTATTAAAACACCGGTTCCGTTGATCCATCCTCGCCAGCCTTTAGATCTATCCATCTTTATCTTTATTTCACTCAATACCCTATCTAATTGATTCATTCAAATTGGATTTTTTATGAATATTTATTCAATATCAAAAAGTCCAAGTAGATCAATGACAAAAATTTGCACTATAGCCATAAACGAAGGCAAATCTTTAAAGATTTGAACAAAGAACTTGATCCAGAATTTGATATTGTTTTGAATGTTAAGGTTACACTTTGACCGAAATTACTCTGGCAAAATATTTCTCGCTTCAAAAAAAAAAAAAAAAAAAAAACAGTTGTTCAAAAACACACATAACACATGTCTTAAATAAACATTTAAGCTGTTTTGAAATTTTTGATAAATTTTTGAACAAATCCTTTAAAAAGTTTTAAGCAGAATCATCGCTAATAAAAAATATCTTTATTATTATTTAAAATAAACCAAAAAAAATATTCGAATAATTTTTAATTACTGGTTCGATCGATTCGACCAGTAAGTTTTACACTCACTCCCCAATATAAAGTTTGCATAAAAATTTTTCGTTTTTATCCTTATTTTTTTTATGAAAAAACATATCAAATTACTCTTATTCTTAAATTTAGTTCAATTAAATATTAATCAATTTATGATGCATATTATCTATATGTCTATATTGTGTTAATCATACTATACGTTATCTATATATATGTTATATGATGATAAAAGTAATAATAATTTAAATTTAAATTCTATATGTTATTATATATGTTATATATGTCATCTATATTATGTTACATATTATTTATATGTTATATATATGTGTTATAAAATCCATGTTTTTTTAATAATTCAATTAGCTTATTGTCTTCATCTTCATAACCCTCTATAGATATTTTTATAGGAATAACTTCCCAATTCTTTAGTTTTTTTAGGCCATTATCGGAAACCTTAAAAATCTCTTCAAATAAAAATTTATGTAATTTTTTCTGCCCTATCGTTATCAGAGCATCAATGACCTTGTCAAAATCACAATTATTGTCTTCCATGAAATTTTTTAATGAAATTGTCTCCAGCTCGACACAATTCTCAAACAATAGAGTTAAGGAAGCTTGGTGATCATGATGGTACGGGATTGATAAATATTTTAATCTCTGACAGGCTCCTGCAATTTCGGAGATAAATTTTCCAAATGAACGTTTGTCTGGGTTCCCGTGAATCATAATAGTTTTTAGGTTTAAACTGTTTTGTTTAATAAACTGAATAAAATCATCTATATCACCTTCAGCATTAAACTGAAAATGAAGTTCTTCAAGTTGAGAAAATTTAGCACGTTTGAAATAACTCATTGAAATATTCCCATCATCATAATAATTAAAAAGTTCTAACTTTCTCATGTTTGGGAAAATTGCCCCTTTTCCCATCATTTCATTTATAGCATGGACGTAGCCTTTGAATTCGGTTAACAAGTCTGACTTGTCCAATAATGCCTTCAAAGTATTTGCAGATAATGTGCAACCTTTTTCTACCAGAAGATGCAATATTCTTAATTTAGATTGCCTATTTATCAGTCTATCTAATCCATCATCAGCCTCATCATTTTTTGTTATTTCGAGGCATAATTTATGGATTTCACTAACAATTCCAACAAACTTTTTCAATAATTCTGGAGAATCTGTATTCTTATAATGCAATATTTTAACATCTTCAAAATGGAACTCTTCATTGTTATGGAAATCATTTGGCAAATAAGGGTTTAATCCACTCAAAAAAATTTCTTCGATCCTACTAGATTTTAATACTTGAACCACCAAATCTTTAATTAATAAATCGGCATATTGCCGTTTTCTTCCAATATTTTTTTCTTTTATTAAATCCTGGAAAATTTCTGCAAAAATGGACAATTTTTTGACGAACATTAGGTAATTCTCAAAAGGTTGATTTTCTAGCGATTGGAAGTTTAATCGAATATTATTTTGTAAAAGAGTGTTGCGGGCAAAGTAGTTTATTAATACTTTGAGATTGTATTTCGATACAAGTGGATCAATCCATAACAACATCATACAGAGCCTATGCCAATATCTATTTACAAAACTACAAGAAATAAGGTCTACTTTTTCCAAGAATTTAAGAGTTTCAAGTAATAACTCGTTTGGTAAATGGTTCATTTCAAACATTTTTTTTTTAATTTTTCATCGATGAACTTCAACTCCTTATATACTATTTCTTTATATTAAAATTTTAAATTTTATTCTAAACAGGTAAAGCGATTCCGTTTAAATTAAAATAATATTAATAATTAGAGACTTCTGCGACAAATCTAGTTATCCAAACAGATTTCTTGGAACAATAATAGAAGGATGGAAAAGAAATACATATATTTCTCCCGAAAATGATCGAGAATAAAATTTTTATCGATTGTTTTCATTCATACAAATTTGCAAATTCGGATAGAGCCGACTCCGTTTCACTGGTCCGGAATTACTAAATCCTATTATTGTTACCGTATTAGTATATCTTAATATCTAACAATATGATCGTACCAATATTAATATGGCATGTTACACGCTGCACAGCTTTCCGAACATTCTAATATAAAAATACTAAAAAAATTAAGAATATTCTTGCCAAGCTTATACATATATATATTGCCTAAGATGTTCATTATTCACATTTAAAAATTATATTTGTTGAATATAAATGTCAACTACGATCACACAAAGCCCTTTTTTAATTCCCGAATTGTTTAATAAGTAACAATAATTATTATTTATAAATTAATCAATTTTGTTGATGACAGTCGCTAAAGTTTGTACTAGTTACGTCTTGGCGATTGATTATTAAAGAAATCGATAGAACAGCAATATTAATATTAATATTACTATCACCATTATTATTATTATCACCATTATTATCACCATTAATATTAATATTAATATTAATATTATTACTATTATTATTACTATTTTAATGAAAATTGATAATTCTGTGAAAGATTTTTTTTAATTATACTCAATGTGAATCTTGTAAATAAATAAACATGTTTTTAGAATAGTAATAAAAAATCGATTTTATATTCTAACTCTAAATAATAATGTATCAAAGATTTCAATTGAAATTGAATGACATACTTTGTGAACTTTTCCACATCCTAACGACAGATGATAAATGTCAAGACTAAACTGATATTCGAAGGGTTGATCTATGATGTTTGTGCAATTTAACTTGGTATTTATTAAACGTCATCAATAAGCACACAAAGAACTAAAATAATAGATAATCTTTAATCTTTATATTTCAGTTAATATAAAGACTACGTCTTGAACTGTGGTTTATTGAACCACTCTGTCATTTTCATTATCAATGTTGCTATGTTCTTCACGAGGAATAGAATCACCTTAAAATAATTTAATATCACATTTTTTTGCTGCCGGTGGATTGTATGATAATAGATATAATGTGATTTTGTTTATATTGCTACGATGACAACACCGCTCCTTCTTTCTACTATCCAAGCGTAGATTCTTGCATCCATTCGAAACTAAACTTTTTTCCCTCCAAGAATCGTTTTTATATTCTCTCAGTCATTTTTAGATTAAAATGTTAACATGTGGGTAGAATAGAAGATTTATTGAAACGCACTTTGTAAACAACTTGGAAAGCGAACTTGTATTAAATACTATATGTAAAGTCAATTTATTGTTATATATTTATATTTTTGTTTATATATATATTTATATTATTTAATTATATTATATATGTGATATTATTATGTATATGATATGTGATATTATTATTATGTATATGTATGATATTACATCATGTACTATATTTTATATATTTAATATCCATTATATGTGATATTATGTAATAATGTTATCATGTATATGATATTATGTATTATATTATATAGTTAATGTCCATTATCGTATATATGCGGTATTATAATTATTATTGGATGTAACCCAACAAATCAAAATTCCGCTATTTTTTTTGCTGTTATCAGAAATTTTTTTTGTGACGATTCTACAATTTTTAGGCAATTGATCTAAGAAAGTCTGGTAATCATGATGATATAGGAGTTGATAAGCTTTTTAAATTTCTGCAAGTTTTTTTGGTTTCTTTGATAAAAAGTTTAAGTAAAATTTCGTCAGGATTGCCTTCAATGACAATAACTTTTAGATTTGACCCATTTCGGATAATAAACTGAATAAGGTCATCCATATCACCTTTAGCATTAAACTGAAAATGAAATTCTTCAAGTGATGGAAATTCAGCATGCTTGAAATAACCCATTGAATTATTCTCATCATCATAATGATTAAATAGGTCCAATCTTTTCATGTTTTTGAATTCTGCTCCTTTTTCCAACATTTCATTCATAGTGTGAATATAGCCTCTGAATTCTATTAATGAGCCAGATTTACCCGATAATGCCTCCAAGGTTTTTGCAAATAAAGAGCAATCTTTTTCTACAAGAAGTTGCATTATTCTTAATTTAGATTGCTGATTTATCAGTTCACCTAATCCATCACCAGCCTCGTCAGGTTTTTTTATTTCAACACTTAATTTTTCAATTTTATTAACAGTTCCAACAAGCTTTTTCAATAACTTGGGAGAATATGCATTATCGTAATGCAATATTTTAATATTTTCAAAGTAGAGTCCTTCATTGTTGTGAAAATCATTTGGTAGATAAGGGATTGTCAAATCACTTAGATAGATTTCCTCGATATTAGAATTCTTTAATATCAGGGGTACCAAATTTTCAATTAACAAATTTGTGTTTTCATTCACTAATACTAAATCCTGGAAATGTCCCTTAAAAATGGCCAACCTTTTAACGAATATTGCGTAATTGTGTAGAGGGGGGTTTTCTAACAGTTCGAAGTTTAGTTGAACGTTATCTTTTCTTAAAAGGATGCCGAGTTCTGAAAAGTGTATTAAACAGTTTATCAACATTTTAATACTGCATTCTGATTCAAATGGTCTATTCCATAAAATTTTTATACAGCATTCATGCCAATGCCTATTTACTAAACAACAAGAAAAAAGGGCTCCTTTGTCCTCTTCAATGTATTCAAAAACTTTAGTTAATAACTCTGGAGGAAATGGTGTGCTCATTGTTTTACTTTTTTTTATTTTTTATTTTTTATTTTTTTATTTTTCATTTTTTCATCGAGCTTTAACGCGTTTTTTATATACAAAAAAACTCATATATATTTGAATTCTAAAAATAATGTTTCCAGTATTATGTTATTGGTAAAAGCGGACCCTTTCCAAACAATATCAAAGAATTTCTATAATAACAATAGAAATCTCAACGGTTTTCTTTAGAACAAAACAACCAGGAGAAAATTAAAAGAAAAAAATTTGTAAAAAATATTATTTGCCGAACCGCTCAACATGTGCATGTTAATCCGGTCGGAATGTGGTATTAGTATGTTAATCCGGTCGGAATGTAAAAACCTCCCAACAATTAGTGATGGGCGTAAAAATTATTTTGAAAAATGACCAAGTTATTAAGTACTTAATAACTCTATTATTAAATGTTAAAAACACAAACATGCAGATCTCATTGGTAAATCAAATAAACAAGTTAATTACTGTGCATAAAATTCAGTGTGTAGAGTGTGCATCCTAACCAAATTTGATAATTATTTTCCCAAATCTGCTGAATTTGGTTAGCACAGCACATTCCACATGCTGAATTCTATACACTCTCACTCAGAGTGCAACAGTTAATAAGTGGTTCTTAACTATTAATAACTTGGAGTTATTAAGTGTAGGGTTAAAAATTCCCATCACTATCAACAATGGTATATTAATATAATGAAACATGTAACGTAGTACATCGATTTTCATTTTATATTGATATTGGCTATATTTGTGCTTGCCAAGTAATTAATTTTCTTTCGAATACAAAAAATTTCATAAACATTGCTTGCACATTTAGAAAATTGTATAAAGAATATTCTTTGCAAACCTCGCATGTATATATAAATTTCCAAAGATATTATTCACATTTTAAAAAAAATTGCATCCACAATTTTAGAAAATTCTTTGCGTTCATGCATTTTGCCAAAAGATAATTCCACATTTAAAAAATTACATCCAGATAGAATGTCTTCTATGATTACAAAGTTCTCTTCAATTCCCGAATCGTTAATAGGTAACAATAATTATTACTTAAAATTATAAGTAATTAATAATTATGTAATTATTAATGGGGATTGTTTTTGTAAATGGAATAAAATAATAAAACAGATTATATTTTCGTTTCGACAATTTCAATTATTAAGGACAACAACAAACCAAAAACATCACAAAAATTACCAAAATTAATTGATTTCATTAGAAAAATCATCAACGACCTTGAAATACCAATCATAACATTGACCATAAGTTTAATTTACATCCACAGATTTAAACTTCAATTGCCAAAAAATTACAAAACTGAAAATGATACACCTCATAAAATTTTCATCAGCTCTATACTGATAGCAAGTAAATACATTGATGACAAACCTTTGACAAGTGGAAAAGTTGCCATGGCGATTGATAACAATCTTTGGACAATTAAAGAAATTAATAGAATGGTAAGCGAAATTATTATTATCACTCACTCACTATTATATATCACTATCATTATCATAACAATAGTTTATTTTTTGAAAATTTGATGATTCTAGGAAAGGGCTTTTTTAAGTTATATTCAATGGAATCTTGTAATTAATAAAGATGATTTAGAATCGTATTTAAATGAATTAAGAAATCAAAAAATCGATCTTAAATCTTATTTATACGCTAAACAACAATAATGCGCTGGTCACACTTTATTTATATAATAAATGTGCTGGTCATTTTATATACTAAGCAACAAATAATGTGCTGGTCACTATTTTATTATCAAAAATATGTAAAAATATAAATATGTATAATAATAATATATCTTTTAAACCAGGAAATATCTCAAATATTTCAATTGAATTCAGGTTTAGTAATGGATTTACACATCCTAACGACAGATGATATATGTCAAGACTACTAATTGTTATCCGAAGGATTAATTTATATAATTGAACTTGGCATTTATAAATGTCGTCAGTAGCTGCATCAAAATCCGTGATATTCATTGACACCAAGTTGTGAACTTTATTATAACGATCCACTATGTACATATAAACTTTATTGGACTTTCCAAAAACAAAAATTTTAGATCAATTCTGTTGTTATTATGGACTGTTGTGAGAATCTCTACTTTGTGATGTCGATATGTTGTAAACTATACACAAAATAATGATGAATCAAGACTCTTTGAGCATTACACCAATATACAAACTTGTAGCCTTCTTGATAGTTTTCATACTCTACTTACTCGGTGTCTTCATATTCATTCACCGGAACTTTCAAACGGGATGTTGTTTTATTGTCCGTAATTTTTATAATAGTAGTGAAAACAGACAATATATATTATCACTTGGTCTTGCCTCAGTGTGAAAATTCCCTTTTTATTATCATTTTTTATAAATCTTAACAAATTTATATATATATATATATTTTACAAGAATTATTAAATAAATATTTTTTAGTTACTAAAAATACAAGATAAGTTTTGTTCGTTGATTGAAAGAGTGAGAGTGATGAAGTGAAAGAAAATTGTGTATAAAATTATGTATATATGTGTATGTATGTATTTATGTATTATGTGTGTATGTATGTTTTATGTATGAAAGTGTATTTGTGCATCTTTATGATATATGTACTAATTGTTTTTCAATGTCATTATATATTATTTGTATTAAAAAAGTTACAATACTTTTTTTAAAGCATTAATGTTATTTATTAAATGTCGATAAAAAAATTTTGCTCAATTTTTTTGTTTGACCAACATTCTTTTATCAAATCTTAATAGATCATATGAATGAACAATTAACGATCTTTTACGTATCGTGACACATATTTTTCCTGCTCCTGTATTCTTTTCATTATTGTTGTTGTCATCATTATTATCACTATTGTTACTGTCTGATCCACTGTCACTACTTGTACATGATGATGACGAACTATTATTACTGCTAATATTACTACGAACACTACGATTTAAACAACCAATTCCACAACGACTATCACCACTAATGATACTGCCAATACCAATACCATTGCTACTGCTGCTACTGCTATTATTACAGTTATTCGTATTTATTGTTGTATCTTTGTCGTGAATAACTTCTCGATAAGTAGTAGTTGTTACCACTTCTTCAGTGGTAGATGAATCCTCATTAAAATCTAAATCTACATCACATTCACCATCTGGAAATCCATTTTTGTAATCATTCAATTGATTGGCATACAACAAAAATTTTAACCCAACAGCTGCTCTACGCATGCTCATAAGCAAAAGTTTTTGATGTTTAATTTGATAGCGTGGTAATGGATGAATTGGCTGCTGTTGATCCTTTTCCTGTTCTGTTTCTTGATTTTTATTCTCTTCTTCATCTCCCGTGCAACCTCCTCCACCTTGTGTTGTTGGGAGATTTGTAGGTGAATTAACGCCTACACTTGTTGGTGTGGTAGAAGCTACATCTGGTGTTTGTGGTGGTTCTGTTAAAGGTGGGTTTTCTTTTGATCTAATAATATTTGTGGTTGTTGTGGTTGTTGTTATTATTTCTTGATGCTCATAATACTGATGATGATGATAATATTCGGTAGTGTTATCATTATCATCATCACTATTATCTTTATCATCATCATTATTATCATTATTTTTATTATGATGATATATTTGCTCTTCAAAATAAGATCGAGAGCTCTTTCAATAATTATAAAAAAAAACAAAAAAGAAAAAAAAGTTAATTATATTTTCTTTTTTTTATTGGAGAAAAAATTCAAATAAATATTTTACCTCATGTTTACGAAACGGTGATAAATCTAATGTTTCATATGATTTATAATCTATTGTTGATCCAACATCATCAAAATGTGTTTTGATTGTTAAGCTTGCTTCCTCTATTAATCGAGCATATTCATGTATAGCTTGTAACATAATGTCTAATTGTTCAGATGTTCTTGATTGATTATCACTAAGATTGGATATGTTTGAACGAGCTATACGATGTTTTTCTAAAAGCTGTTTTTTTTTAAAGATAATTACATTAATAAATCACAATTGGAATTATAGTAATTATAGTAATTATAGTAATAATAATAATTCTTATTCTTCTAGTTTTTATTTATAAATACCTCGTATATTTGATCTTGAATTTTCTTCAAATCATTATTTATATCTTCGTGAGCTTCATCTTGAAATGTTTTTAATTTTGCCAAGCTCATCTCATTTTCCATAATCTTGTCTTGTGCAGCCATAATGCATTCTTCAACATTATCTATTATTAATATTAAGATTAGTTATAATTCTTTTTATTAGCCACAACAAAGAAAATAATAATCAAACCTTGTTTCTTTTTTATTTCCTGTATATTGGTGGTAAACCATTCAGGAGAGTCTTCATATAATTTTTCCATTGAATTTGCTATCTCATCTAAATCTTTATTAAATTGATTAAACTCCTCCCTTGATCTATCCAATTCTTTTTCAAATATCTCGTCTGATTTAGTTGGTGAAGAAAGTGGAGAACCGGTAAGTAAAATGTTTTTAGGTATTACGATAGAACTAGGTTTCTATTATTGTTGTTTATTATTATTATAAAAGATATTCATATACATACATAAATATCATTTTTAATTTGGATAAATTAAATATTTAAAAAGAAAATATTAAAATAATAACCCCTAAATGATATTCCTAATATTCTCTTTAAGGGGCATTTTTTTTCATTTTTTTAGATTTTTTGATATAGATGATGAAAAGGAGTTTTTTTTTGTGGTGAAAAAAATTTCAATTAATTAACTAAATATTATATCTATCTATCTATTTATCTAACTAACTATCTATTTATGTATATATTATAGCTAATCAGTTAGTTACCTTTGACATTGGATTAAAGAAATATCGGTTTTCAGGAATTTTTATTGAAAGTACTGAGGAACGTTTTCCCATTTTTTGTTCAAAAAGACAAAATATATATTTATTTATATATATATATATATATATATATATATTATAAATATCCAGTGATATGCAATCTCTATTAATTGTTTATTCTACTTATTCTACTGAAGGTTTTGTTATTGTTTTATTTTTATTATTATAAATACGAATTTATAATGATAATAATAATAGGGTTGTAAGCGAGTGTCTATATAAGAAAATTTTTTCCTATTTTTTACAGCATTTGTAGACTTGACTTGGTAGTAAAAAAAAACGAAACTTTCAAAAAAGTTAGCGTTTCTTTCTTTTCTCCCTTATGTATAAAATGTTGAATAACAAGCTAGCAAATTGGCTAGCGAAAAGTTTTTAGTCAAATTAATGAACTAAAAGGTCAACTAGATAACTAGCTAATCAACCAGCCGAAAAAAGCCCCCTAACTGCCAATTAACTAACCAACAAACTAGATTGAATAAATTTTTTGGTTCAGCAATTAGTTTTAGATTGGGCGAGTATTGGATGTTCAGAGATATATGGTTTAAAATAATGGCTTTTATAATAAAAAAAGTTGACTAACGCGTGTTTTTTGTTTGTAATAAATTAAAGGAATATTTTTTTCTTTGAAAACACTTTATTAAAAAGAAAACGAATGAAATGAATGATGATGAGATGATTATGATAAATAAATAAATAAAAAATTTTTTTTTGTCTTATATAACAATTTTAAAGTACATGCATAAATAATAAAAACAAACCGCAGAGTTTACAAATCTTTTATTTATTTAATGAAGGTACCACAATAAAAAAAAACCATTAATATTAATGTTAGGGATGGACGTGTATAAAAAAAGTAAAGGGGTGTTGCAACAACAAAGATCATGCATTGAAAATTTTATTGATAGATCATTAAGATAAGCAAGGACTTTATATCATTTATTATTGTAAATGCATGCATTTTTTTTATGTGTTAGAAAAATCATGGCGGAAAATAAAAAAAAATGGATAAAAATATAAACTAAAAAAGAATGATAAAATATAAACTAAAAAAGAATGATAAAATATAAACTAAAAAAGAAGTCAATGATGTGAATGAGAAATAGGAAACTTTTTACAAGCCACAAATAAAAAGTCAAATCACTTGACTAGAAAGATCGTTGTACAATTCAAAAAAAAGAAAATTTTCTGCATTTACAACTTTTTTTTATTACACAAATTTAATTCCTTTATAGAAAAATACCACTAATAGACCAAGTACAAACCTTACATATAACGGCAAGATGTCTCGGTAAGCACAAACGTTATAAGCGACTCTTTATTTGTGTTTCATAATGTACTTTAAAAAGTATATTACGGGTTCGTTTAATATCTCTATAAATGGTTTGTAAAAGTCTTTGAGGGGCCACAGCAGTGTAGATGATCACCATCTTGCGCCATGGAGCAATGTAAATCGGGAATGTGACAGGTCAACACTTGTCTTGCAATTTTAGATTGGATTTTTTAAAGCCATCGTCATTTTTGGCCATGTGCTTAAACTCGGGAAATAAAACTAAACGATGGTTTTCACACAACAATTTGCAATTTTCAATGATCCGTAAGATTATAAATTTCCTTGTCGATTTGGAGCATGCATCAACGCTTATATCTTCCATGCTTCCATGAATATAGTGCGAGCATAAATGATTCGTTCTACTTTCCCCGTTCTATAACCTCACAACTTTGTTTGTATCCGGTCATGAAAGTTCTCATTCTTAGACCAAGAGAAATGATGCCAGCGTCTCTATTCTCTTTAACCACTGAAAATTTAAGTCCTCGATTACCAGCCTTAATTTCAAGTGGTGGCTTAGGTATAACCCGTCGATATGAGGCGACGTTATATTGTAATCTTTCGGGTATTTCTCATTTGATTTAATACCGTTGAGGAATGAAAAATTAACCATTTTTTCTTCCTAAAATCATTCGAGGAATGAAAATCAACCAGTTTTTCTTCTAAATCATTCGAGGAATGAAATTGATTGCCTTTTTAATTTTTAAAAGTTTTTCAATATGCCAAACTCTAACGTGATATGATATATCTAATTTTCTCGTAAATATTTTTTATATTAATATCAATATTACCGATCCTGAACATTTATTTGTTATATGTCCAATACACAACACCGATATTTTTTTAATCAAAATTCTGACCCAAGAGCTTTCGGTTTTCTAGAAGATGATCAAGGGGAAGATTGTTTAGATCGCTAGGTGTTGGTTTAGCTTAATCAACCTCCCAAAAGCGAATTACAATCTTTTTAAAGAATCATCCCACTGACTTGAGCACAATGATTCACTCACTATATGGTACGATTTTCAAAGGTAATAGAAAAATCTATTTTAAATTGATCAGCGAATCGTATGATTTTTATATTAATAGTATTGCATCGCAGGATTTGTTTATACACATGCACCATTATTAATTGTAATAAATGGCAGCAGCGTGTTTCTTGAACGCAACCTTTTTCCAAAGTGGATAGATCAAAAAAAAAGGACAAATTTCACGTGATGCTTTAGCTACAAATTTTGGTTCAGAATCTAAAACTTGGCACAAGAAGGCATTTTCAATGCACCAGGAAATTAAAATTAATGTATATAAGAAGGGAAGTTGGGGTTTGGTTTCGAATAAATAAAAAAGATAGCAAAGAAACGGTAGCGTTGTTGTCATTACAAGCAGCATCGGAAAACAGAAACAGATGAAAAAAATTTTTGTGAGAAATTTGAATGGTATTGAATATTATTATTAAAATCATGGTTATTTTTATCTCGTAACATGTGATTTAGGCATGCCAAGTAAAATTCCGTACAATGGTCTCGCTTCATTCATTTATTATTCACTTGACATTTTTGTCATTTACAATGGTTACATGATTTTTTCTCCTTAAAAATTAATTTTTTGAAGCCATCTATTAATAACTATTTTCAAAAATGAATAGCTTTACGTCACTCTGGGACTTTTTAGAATATTAATAAGCGTTAATGCAATGCTATGTATATAAAAAAAGTTTGTATAATGTTATCTAAATAAAAAAGTAAAGGACAATTGTTTTAAAAATATCCATTAATGATGATGATAGTATCCAATTCTAATAATCAACAGTCGTACTATCACCACCATCATTGTTGTCTTCTTCATTTTCATTGTTATAATTATTATTGTCATCATTATCAACATCAAATTGTTCTATTTCACCATCACCTTTTACATTTCATTATCACGAATGTTCTTGTTAACTCCAATTTCATAATCATCAACTCCAATATATTCTTCACATCATCTAATCTTTCATTACTAATTTCTTCAATTTGATCATTTATTACACCCTCGCCATCACATTCATCATCTTCTTCAAAAATTTGTCCATCTTCGTCCACTTCATAGTCTTCAACAACAACATCATCATTCTTATCAAGCAAACCACATGGTGACTCTAAATCAGGCTCTAGTTTTTTTGCTATTGATTCAAATCTTACATCACAAGAATAACCATTATTGAAATCAGGCATACTATATTTATTCCTCACATAGCTGGACTCTTGATGGTCATGTTTATGCTCATTATCATTATCGTGATCATAATAAAATAATTGCTAATGTTTTTATCTTTTTTTAATGATGTTGATGATGAATTATTAGTAGCTGATATTGAATTTTGAATATCTGAAAAATTATAAAGATCAAGAAGATCCTTGACACATCCTTGCATCAAACACAAAGTGATGTAATTTGAAATCATAGTTAAAGATATATTATTATTAAATTACTGGCTGTGACTTCATGATTTCGATGAGACAGCAATCACCAAACTGACCCTTCAGTAAAATCATTAACATTCTCATCATATCCATTACTATAATCATTAAATTCTATGCCTGGAGCTTTAGCAGAAATCAATAATGCAACACTTGCTATGATTGTTGGACTATAAAAAAGAGATAACAGTGCTTTATAACTGAAAATTTGAGAAAAAATAAATTAATCCAATAAATGCTTGTCCAATCATTCAATTAACTCAAATTTCATTTATTATTGACCATACTCCTTCTGCCAATTTTCTTATACATCATGTCTATAACCTAAAATTATTATTTTCATTTTCATTTTCTTTATCTTCTTCATATCCATTGACTACCTTTCATATACCTTATATAAACATGATAAAGATATTCAATTGAATAATCATAGCATAATGATTGGTTCCAATATTTTTATTATTGATCTCCAAAATTCGTATTCCTAAAACATTTCAATAAATAAATAGATTATATGATAATACAGCATATATCATATAAATACAATAATAATAGTAACCAAATTACCACTTTCTCTAATCTGTTAGGTCTTCATAGTAAACCCTTGCACATGATATTGTGACATCAAGCATTTTCTGATCGATTCTTCTGCTTTACATGCCAAAAATATGCCTTTAGATTGTATAAATCATATAAATAAATGCATACAAGTGTAATATATAAATGTATATGATGTAGAGTTCCACCTTGCTATCAAATTTTCCTAAACTGTTTAACATGTAGAATTGCCGAAAAATAGGTTATAGCCATAGATACAGTGATTTGAGGATTAAATAAAATAAGATCTTTTATTTAAAATGATTGCAGTAGAAATAGCTTCAGATGGTAACGAACTTGAATAATGAATCGCGTTGTTTTCACTTTTATACATGTTCTTTTTCATAAGTAAATCCATCTTTTCTAGAGGGTGACTTTTCAACATAATCAGTCTTGTTAAATTTCCAAATGTGACTTCCATTTCAAGTTCCTTGTGACACATGAACAGGAAAACCACACCTACCTCAGTCAGTTGCACTAACCGACCAGCTCTTTATTTTGAATGGGTATAGAGGTGACTATCTTATACCAAAAAGGGTAGGTAGGCTTTTGCTCGTCGAAAATTTTCTAAAAAAGTAGGTGTGGTAAAAACTATTGAATGTGACCATCAACAACACTATGATTTGAAAGAGGACGTTTATATAATTCGAAGGAAAAAATGTCATCAGTTACATTGTAATTCATATTATTAGAATTAAATCAAATAGCATATACAGATAACTCGATAAGTTGGTCATGAATGGCTGGGAATGATGGACCAACTTGTTGAGAGAACCGACTTGTCAAGAACACGTGACTCTATATTAGTTGTTCATGATTTTGTATACGTAAATGTGATTTTTAAAACAATATTTATTTAGACTGATCTTTTATATAGGTTGTTCGGAAGATTATGAAATCAACCTTTTTATACATACAAAATATAATAAAAACATAAATGCATTGGTCATAATACAAAAAGAAATGATTTTTTCTTTTCTAAATTATCAAATGAAATAATAAGTAATGCAATTAATGATGGATGTAATAAAATACAAATGTATTGTTCATCAAAAAAAGAAACGTTTTTCTGAGATAATTAATGATAAAATCAATAATATAATTAAAAAAAGAAACATTTTCTGAGAGAATAATAATAATGATACAATCAATGATGTAGCTAACAAGGTAATAAATGATATAACTGACTAAATAATAAAATGTTAATTTTTTATGTAAAATATGATTTAGGATTAGAAGCACATGTACAAATGAATTGGTATTTAAAGCAGCCCAGGATTTGAAGATGAATCAAGTTGCAAATGCCATTAAAAAAAGAATATGCTTTAAAACAATTGGCTTCAAAAAATTTTTTGGAAAGACAATTCCAGATAAAAGAATTAGAAGGTAATAAACTGGATCTTTGTATTAAAACACAATTGATGGTTTTTAAATCAAATGAGGAGGATGAAACAGAAAGAGATACTCTGTATATAGGAAACCTCTTAATGACTGCCAAAACTCTGCTGAACCTCTAATAAACAATTAGTGTATAACAATATTTTGTATTCAAAAAAATTTATTATAATTTTAAGTACCTTTTGCTGGAAACTTTCTATATAAAGTAATTAAATTATAACTAATGAAAAGAAAATATAATATTAATTTAAAGTTGTATTTATTATTTTTATTTTTTATTAATTATTTGAAAAACTTCTAATTCATCAAATTTACTACCATTTACTATATTAATGCCACTATAAGCACATGGGCTACTACCAATATCATCATCTACATTAAAATAAACATCACCATAACCAAACCAAGGTAAACAAGAAGAATTACACCAAAATGCATACTCATAATTATTATTGATAACATAACTAAATTTTGCAGTGTTAATATTATTTCTATTACTTATATTAAATATAAAACTTCCTGTTGTATTTTTAAATCCACCATTTCCATTCCAATCAAGTGGATTATAGCCACCAACTATTTGATTTGAATTTTGTATTTTGCCAATTACAAGAGTTTTGTTGATATTGTCACATTTTTGATGAAATGTAGCTACATTTAAACCATCTCTGCTACTACGATATAAAAGTTTGAATTCGTATTTGACTTCACTGAATGAGGTATATGGTGGACTTTTTCTATCAATCAAACTTGCAAAAAGCAAAGTAAGGTTTTGATTAATTGTCAATGATTTAAATTTTGAGATTCTTGGTGGTAATAAATTTAAAGTTTGTTGACTATCAGGGTATAAATGAGATTGTAAAAGGGGTTTCCATAAAGTCCTAGGAAAGAGTATATTATATGGTTCAATTTTATTAAAAAAATCATCTTTAGAAATATCCTGAAATCTTATTAAAGAAATAAATTCTTTTAATGTGTTGCCTAAATCAGCAAAATTTTGTAATGACCAATCTTCAACATTGATATTATTGATTTCAGGATGTTTTGCTAATCCCCATTTAAGAATGCTTTCCCAAATAACTATCTCATCAATAGAAAAGTCATCCCTTTTGAGAATTTCCAATAAAATTGGTTTTTCCAATAATTTAAATTCACTTGATTCAAATAATTTTTCACTATACTCGTAAAATTTTTCCAAATAGATATTTTTCAATTCATTAAAATTTTCATTAGCATAGATCAATTGTAGAATTTTAACTGGATTTTCTTTTATATAATTTTCATAATTTTCAATAAAATATTTCATTATATATTCATAAAGTGACTCAATACCAAATACATCTGCTGCAGTTAATAGTTCTAATATTTCAACACCAGAATAATTTTCAAATTCAATTTTGCATGTATATAAAAATCTTAAAAAATAAATAAATTATTAAGCAGATTATTGGAATTCAAAACAATAAATAAATAAATTTATTTGAACTTACTTGAGAATAGGATTGAAAAGTTTTTCACTGATGTTGGTTTTCTTAACAATATAATAACCATTTTCTTTTGTTGTATTATTTAATTCATTGCTGAAAAATGGACAATGAGCTGATATTATAGATGCATGTGCATGAATTTCTTTAATGTTTGGTTCTACACCTACATATATTTTTACATCATAAAAATCTTCAGTATTTAACAACCTTTCATTTTCATTAAAATATTTTTCAAATATTGAATTCATTTTTTAAAGATAAAAAAATGTGAATGGTCAATCACATGTTACAATTAAATTATTATGCAAAATTTTCTTTTGATCTGCAATATTTTGTTAAAATCAAATACACAAATTTTTTTTTCAAAATGACAACTATTGAAATTATTATCATTCAAGAACAACTAAAAACGCAAATAAAGAATTAACAGGAGTAAAAGAGGAGTTGAATGCACTCCTCTATAAATAAATGGTCTCATCTGGTTGTGTTTACTTCATCAACAATCACTTTGTCAACAATCATTTTGTCAACACATATTTTGTCAACAATTCATTTTGTCAACAAACACTTCATGATAGTGATGGTGATGATATTGTCACTGACTATTTTGGTGATTATAATAATTGATGGTGATTATTGTTTTTAATAGTGTGAATCAGACAAATTGACAATATGCTAATGAATAGTATTGAGGCTTCATTTCAATCAAACTCAGGAATATTTATTTTTTTGACAATGATTCTTTTCAAAATGCATGAAATTCAGTCATTAATACACTTGCAAACTAATTAGTATCCAAATTTCCTGATACTTCTGAAATCATAATTCCTATAACCAATGCATATGTTACTCTAAAATCATATAAACTGTTGACAAAACAAATCAAACCCATTATGTTTAAAAGTTTATTACAATTTTTAAGAATTTGTTTTAAAAAGATAATGATTTTACAGAGATTTTATTTTATTTGAATGTTAATGTGGTATTTGTACTTCCTGTTTGTTCAAGTGAGGACTCAAACAAAGTTATCTTCTGCTCTCACTTTTCCAAGTGAAGACCAGAAGTTCATTTGCTACCATTAAATTGGTTAAATGTCCAATAAAAATTTTTTATTAGTTATTTATATTGTCTCCTCACACTAGTAAACTAACATGCTCAATGTATATAAAGTAATTAAACTATAACTAATGAAAAACATATGAAAAATATATAAAGAAATACAATAATAATTTAACACTGTATTTATTGTTATTTTTTTTTATCAATTATTTGAAAAACTTCCAATTCATCAAATCTACTGCCATGTGTTATATTGATGTGACTATAATTTGTTATTGTGCTATAAATAGTACCCTCAGTTTGAAAATGAATATCATTAACACCAAAAACAGCTAAACATGAAGGATTGCAGTAAATTGCATTATGATGATGATGATTGATAACATAACTAAATTGTGCAGTATTAATATTATTTCTATTATTTATATTAAATATAAAACTTTCAGTTGTATTTTTAAATACACTATCTCCATTCCAACTAAGGGGATTATAACCACCAACTATTTGCTCAGAATTTTGTATTTTGCCAACTACAAAAGTTTTGTTGATATTATTGCATTTTTGATGAAATGTAGCTACATTTAAACCATCTCTGCTACTACGATATAGAAGTTTGAATTTGTATTTGACTTCATTGAATGAGGTATATGGTGGACTTTTTCTATCAATCAAACTTGCAAAAAGCAAAGTAAGGTTTTGATTAATTGTCAATGATTTAAATTTTGAGATTCTTGGTGGTAATAAATTTAAAGTTTGTTGACTATCAGGGTATAAATGAGATTGTAAAAGGGGTTTCCATAAAGTCCTAGGAAAGAGTATATTATATGGTTCAATTTTATTAAAAAAATCATCTTTAGAAATATCCTGAAATCTTATTAAAGAAATAAATTCTTTTAATGTGTTGCCTAAATCAGCAAAATTTTGTAATGACCAATCTTCAACATTGATATTATTGATTTCAGGATGTTTTGCTAATCCCCATTTAAGAATGCTTTCCCAAATAACTATCTCATCAATAGAAAAGTCATCCCTTTTGAGAATTTCCAATAAAATTGGTTTTTCCAATAATTTAAATTCACTTGATTCAAATAATTTTTCACTATACTCGTAAAATTTTTCCAAATAGATATTTTTCAATTCATTAAAATTTTCATTAGCATAGATCAATTGTAGAATTTTAACTGGATTTTCTTTTATATAATTTTCATAATTTTCAATAAAATATTTCATTATATATTCATAAAGTGACTCAATACCAAATACATCTGCTGCAGTTAATAGTTCTAATATTTCAACACCAGAATAATTTTCAAATTCAATTTTGCATGTATATAAAAATCTTAAAAAATAAATAAATTATTAAGCAGATTATTGGAATTCAAAACAATAAATAAATAAATTTATTTGAACTTACTTGAGAATAGGATTGAAAAGTTTTTCACTGATGTTGGTTTTCTTAACAATATAATAACCATTTTCTTTTGTTGTATTATTTAATTCATTGCTGAAAAATGGACAATGAGCTGATATTATAGATGCATGTGCATGAATTTCTTTAATGTTTGGTTCTACACCTACATATATTTTTACATCATAAAAATCTTCAGTATTTAACAACCTTTCATTTTCATTAAAATATTTTTCAAATATTGAATTCATTTTTTAAAGATAATAAAATGTGAATGGCCAATCACATGTTACAATTAAATTATTATTATTATGCAGGTTTTAAAAGTATATAAAAAAACTTTTTTTTATCACTTGATCTGCAATATTTTGTCAAACAAACAATTTTTTTTTCAAAATAACTATCAAAATCATTATCATTCAAGAACAATAAAAACGCAAATAAAGGGTTAGCAGGAGTAAAAGAGGAGTCGAATGCACGCCTCTATAAATGCACGGTCTCGTCCGGTCCAAAGGGAATGCACTTATGGAGGGTTGACTATATTGTAAATTCAGTATACAAAAATAAATAAAATCCACTTTATAATAATTCAACTCAAACATAGATTTTGATGAAACATTAATTCTGATGAGTTTTATCATTCCATTAGTGATGATTATGAAAGTACTAAAAATTTTACCGATTCGGAATCAAACTTCGATAGTATCAATAATTTACCCGGCCACGTTTACTTCTTCGGCATATATTTCGTCGACAGTTCATTTCGTCGACAAACTCTTCATAATAGTGATGGTGATATAGATAGGCGTCTAAATTGTTTTTGGGGTTGTCTAAAGTCAAAAATGTCTAAATTAATATAAATAGTAATGGTTTGCTTTAAATATAACTAAAAGTCACTTGGATATGCACAAAAATCCACAAAAATCAATAAATTATCCAATAAAAATTCAATTTCAACATTTATACAATCATGGTCTCAATCGTCTAAATGTCTAAATTAATCTATATTTTAGACATTGTCTAAATAATTTAGTTTAGACGCCCATCTATAATAGACGGTGATGATATTGTCACCGACTGTTTTGGTGATTATAATAATTGATAATAATTATTGTTTTTAATAATGTGAATTCTGACAAATTGCTAATTAATAGTATGAGATTTCGTTTGAATCAAAATATTTATTTTTCCGCATGAAATTCAGTCATTAGTATGCTCGCAAACCAATTAGTACCCAAATTTTCTTTTTATCTAAATTTCCTGATGCTTCTGAAATCATGATTCCTAGGTTCAATCAGAATTAACTACTAAACAAATTATATTAATAATTATAATCAATGCATATGTTGCGTTAAAATCATCGACGAAATGACTGTCGACGAAGTGATTGTCGATGAAATGAATCAGACCCAAAACTGTATATATTTTTGAAATATATTAATAATTTGAATTGAATGATGACGATAAAAAAATTTAACAGAAGACCAGACTGGTTCGGTCCACGATCCATTCAGTCCGAACCGGACTATTAACATCCCTAAAAGTAAGTAAGTATTGCTGCAGTGTACTACATAATAAAAAAGCAAATAAAGTCATTTTATAGTTTCAGGTCCTTGCGGTTATGCATATGAAATTTAGTGTTTTTTGTATTATTATTTATTCTAGATTTTTTAATTAAAATTATGCAGTATTTTCAAAATTTCACATAGTAAAAATTTATTGAATTACATCAAATGATTATGTTATAAAAATAATAAATAATATGATAACTAGATTCCCGTAATAGTAAATAATTACTATTACGGCATTTACGGTCTTATGTTTTACGACTTTTACAACTTTAAGGTGTCATGCCGAATTTATTTACGGCTTGTATCGTAATGCCAATTGCCGACATGCTACTTTATTCCAACTGGCGTCATTTTTTTCTACCAAGTGCTTATTATTATTAAAGGACTTTTTTAGCAGGATACTGACATTTAATTTGAATATTGTAATAAATCGGGTGTCATCCTGGTATATCAACAAATCTAATTAATGTCGTTAATATTATGATAAGAAAGCCAAAAGCCAAAATTATCCCCAAAAAATAAGTATTTGCTTTTAATAATATATTTATTAATTTATGTTAGTAACATTTCAAAAATTTCATTAATTACATGGTCACAATTTTTTCACTATTGGTATTGTTACCTCAAAAAAGTCTCTCTGTACCAAATAACGGTGCGTTTTACATTAATTATTTTACTTTGAGGATAGTAATTATAAATTAATATCAAACTTGTTTTCACAATATGAAATTAATTAGTATAATTAATAACATAACGTATGTTGAGTCAATTGACTGACTCGTATCATCATCACATCGTACTAAATTTTGGGGTTCGAACAAAATCAGCGCATATGTCCTTTATTCATGAAGTCAACTCTAAACAATTATATTCCGTATGTACATTTCTGTCAAAATATAATGGAAAAGATTGCCATAGTAATAGACACTACACGTGTTGATTTCACAATCATTATTTGATGAAGTTAAATTACTTTGTTGCTTCTTCGATAGCGATTTTGCCACCAACTCTGTTATAAATAAGTTATCAAGTTAAAACTTTAAAAAAGAGTCATTTAAAATATATATATATATATATATAAATCTCACTGGTTTATTAAAATTCTTCTATTTTTCTATTTTTAAAAAAAAATGACCCAGTAAGATGTCCCTAGAAAAGCTCCTTATATATGAAATAATTTTACGTCCACTATATAGTATTCAAACAGCGGTTAGAGTGGGAACAATAGTTGGAGTCTGAGCGGCTGGAATTGGAATGGGAACAACAGCTGGAGCTGGAGTGAAAGTAGCGTTCTGTAGTTTTAAGAACGAGATCACCTTATACGGCTTTTAAATAGTGATCTCGAATTTATCTCAATACTCATCACGCATCTGTAAATAATTATTCCCTTGCCTTTCCTTCCTGAATAACTTGTTGCTGTTGTAAGGCATTGGATGTGCAATACCTTATTTGGACTGATCTACATAATCTTCTCATTTGCTTTTTTTTTCAAAGCTTTCTACTAATAATGATGAAGAACAGCCTCAACCAGTTCAAAAAATAGCTTCTACCCATAATAATAACGAACGAACAACAACGGTAAAGTAGTCATCTAGTTCAAAGGACAGTGCGAGCGTGCAATCTGAATTTCTTAATTAGTTGCTGTTAGTCGTTTAGTCACTTACTGCTTTACTATTGCAGACGAATTTTGGCCAAGTGTCACTGTTTCCTTTCCAGCTACAAATAAATATATACAACTATACTACAAGCAACATAGTAAAATTAAAGGTTGGTCAAACCACTAAATCATTAGTATTAGAAAGGTCATGAACCAATCACACCAGTTTATTAACAATTATTACTTCTTGAAATACTACCAATAAAATAAAATGGAATAAATGGAATGATAAATGATGGCTAATTGTGATTACTAATGCTAAATGCCCAAACGCATCATTGACAATAATCGGGATCCCAAATCGGTCCTCAATTTACTATCTCACAAAATAACAAAAGTATTTATTTATCCAGTTCAAAGAGCAACTTCCTCTACTAATAATGAGAAACAACAATGAAAAAATATTAAATTAGCTAATCATTTTGAACATAGAAATTAAGCTAATTTGTTCAGCCTCTTTAAAATTCTGTTTCATCAACCAGAAAAGGCCATTTGTTTTAAATTAGGATCCTTTTTTTTTTTTTTTGCGCTTAAAAATGTCATTTTTAAAAACAAAAAAATTAATTCCATTCAACATTTATAATATCCTTTATTAAATTACAATAGGCCATTTTCCATTCATTGTCTAATTTAACTAATTAGTCATATTAATCAGCGTTTTATACAACATTTTAATCAAGATTTATTTGACATTATGCTAGTGACGAAAGTAAATTTATAAAAATGCAATATTGTGCTGTTATTATAAACGGAAATGGCCTGTACGTAATAATTTGTTAATATTATTATTAACATCCGCATTAACATCCACTATTACTATGCTAATCGATATCTTGGAAATTATCCAATCAAATTGTATATATTTTACGTAATATTTGTTACATTTTATTACATCATATGTAAGTGTGTGTGTTAAGTGTGTTCAATCACATGGTACCGTGTAATTAGTCTTTGCCCAATAATAAAACACACGTATATATATATATACTACTGGAAAATATTTCTAAAAAAAAAAAATCTTTAAATTTAAAAATGTCAACTTCAGAAATGCAAAAAGTTGAGCCTTCAAATAATTCCAACTTTTTTAAATCCTTGAACATGACTAGATGTAAGTAAAGTGATGCAGCCCCATTTTTCATAGTCATCGTATAATTCTAACCTTTTAAAGTTCTTGAATACAATTAGATATAAACTATTTAAAAAATTTACTATATAAAAAAAGCCATATTCCTACATTAAATATTACAATTAATATACCGTAAGTATTTTATGATCATCATGATCATCATGATTTCAATTTTATTCCAATTAATTATATAATTATCATAATTATAACATACTAGTACAACAGATAATGATTCGAAGTTTCCAAGGACATTAGTTTCTGTTGTTGCAAAAAATATAGATGGCTGGGCCAATATTAAAAATGATAATGACATTATTATAGAGTCCATCAAAGGAGCATTGACAAACAACATATACTTTATCACTAATATTTCTTCAAATAAAAAAATAATCTTGAGGGTTTATGGGAAAGGAGTTGATAAACTATTGAATCGGGAAAAGGAATTGAACTTTTTAAAAATGCTATCAAAGGTTAACATTGGTCCTCAATTATTATTGATTTTTAATAATGGTAGATTTGAACAATTTTTCGAATCTGTAAACCTGACAAAAGAAGAAATGAAAGATGAGGAGATTTCTCGTAAAATAGCTGCCTACATGTTTAAATTGCACAACATTGTGACAATTTTTCCTCCTGATAATATTGAAAATATTGTTCCTGAAGTCTGGTCCAACATTGACCAATGGTTCCAACTAGCATGGGATATAATTAATTCTGATTCTTCCGATTCCTCCAACAATGTTAATATAGAAAGATTTGATTTGGAATTATTAAAAAAAGAAATAAAGGAATTAAAATCTATTTTACAAATGGTTGACTCACCAATTGTCTTTGCACATAATGATGTAAGTAAAAAATTAATTACTTTATGATTTGATTTGATTTGATTTGATTTGATTAATTTAATTAAATTGTTATTTTCATTTTGTTTATTTGTTTCTTTAGTGCCAGTATGGGAATATATTACGTCTTACTGATGGATCAAATCAGCTAGCAATCATTGATCTAGAATACTCTGGTTGGAACCATCGTGGTTTTGACATAGGTAACCACCTATGTGAGTGGACCTTTGACTACCACTCAACAGAGCCTCATGTGGCACATTTGGATTGGTATCCAAACGAACAGCAGCAGCGTAATTTTTTGGAATCTTATTTGGATTCATTTCTATTGGCATCAAACAACAAAAACAAAAATAATAATAATATAAGAGATGAACTTTTAAAAAAATTAAAAATAGAAGCCGATGGTTATTCATTAGCAAGTCACATTATGTGGGGGCTGTGGGGCATTGTGCAATCAGCACAAAGTCAGATAAAATTCAACTATTTGGAATATTCATGGCAAAGGATCAATGCCTTTAGGACATTAAAGGCCAAAATATATAAAGACATTTCGGATGAATTTAACAAGATTTAATTTCATTTATTTATTTTATAATTTTATTTTTATTTTATAATTTAATATTTATATATATATATATATATATATATTTATGTAATAAACACTGAGTGTCTAATTTATTGTGACGTAAATCAAAAACCTGATGTATAAGCCACTAAATTTTTTTATTATTATAAATATATGACATTCCAATCCCTTCTCATAATTAACTGCTTTTTAAAGCAATTCTATTTTGTAATACATCAATAAATTTTATTCGTTAGTAGATTTTTATTTTTCCATAGTCAAAAAAAATAAATGACATTCTTTTCAAAAAAATTTAAAAAGAGGAACTGAAACATTGATGGATACCAAAATTTTACAGAATTTTGCAGACATGCCAATAGTATGTAGTAGAGGAAACAACAGTAATTACAATAACAATAATGATGTTGTTGATGATATTGATATTAATGGTGATAACAAAAACAAGGAACTTTTTTTTAAAAAAAATCAATTAATGGAATCAACATCAATGCCGCAAACAAATGATCATAACGATTCATCATTAAAATTTTTTAATAATAATGATATCACTAATTTAAAAAAAGTTAAGAAATCAAATAGCAATAATCCTATTGGGCATGTTGATGACTTGGAAGAACAAACTGCTGCTGCTGCTGCGCAAACATTGCAACTCTTAAAGCTAACTTCTAATTTACAAAATGATGGTGATTATCATGATCATGACAATGTTTTTAATAGTGATCATCAGATTAACTATGATAATCATCACATTAATGGTAAAAATATTATTCTCAATTCAGATTGTTATCTAAACAACCATGATAGTGAAGGTAGTAACAATGGCAATGATGCTGCTGATGGATTGAGCAGAAAGAATATATTAGAACATCATCCCATTTTTTTTAATGCTGATATAAGAGGATTGACGGATAAAATATCACAATCTCAACATGATTCTACTAGACCTCCTGCAGAACAACAACGATATTTAAATATTTCTTTGGGTTGGAATAAACCTGTTGATACAGCTTTACTTCATTCTGTAGCAGTACGAACACGGGAGGTCGAAAGAGAATTGTTACCACTTCCAACAATCTCAGCTCATACAAACTCTTCATTGCCTAATTCTTCCAACGTATTTAATCCATCTAGTTCATCAATAAATCATAAATATTTAAGAAATGAAAATGTTAGAGTTGATGATAACAATAACAATAATACTAATAATAACAATAGCAATAATACTAATAATAATAATAACAACAATGATACTAATAATAATAATAATAATAACAACAACAACAACAACAACAATAAAATATTTCGTCGTGATATTTCATTTAATCAAAATATGAATGATCCTGAAATATCTACAAATTTATTAATCACTACAATATCAGAAAATTCTCAATTTTTTATTCCAACCTCAACACTATCTTTTTCCGATTCTCAGGCTTTCTTAATGCCTACAACGTCTAGCAATAATAATAATGGTAATATTATTAACAACAGCGATAATAACAACATAATACAACAAAAAAATTACAATAATGATTGTATGAACTATAATACAAATAGTAAAGTAAATAACAATATAAATAATTCCATCATTCATCTGGAGTCTAATAATATTTCTGCGCAACAATACATGGAAGTAAATTCTAAGTTGGGTCTATTTTCAAATAATTCGCATCTAAATAAAAAGCTTGAATCTTCACCGTCAAATGACAATATAAAGAATTTTAAAAATAGTAATGACAATGATAATAAAAATGATAATGATGGCAATTACATTATTGGTATTATCAATAATAATAATAATAGTAAAGGTGATAATGATACTCATCGATCACTCGGTTACAAATGCCTTTATCCTAATTGTGATAAGTCATTTGCTAGATTATATAATCTTAAATCTCACCAATGTACCCATTCAAAAGATCGACCATATAAATGTTTAATTTGTGAATTGGCATTTGCGAGAAATCATGATCTAAAACGACATCAAAAAATTCATGACAAAGTAAAACTTTATAAATGTGATGGTTGTTTAAAGCTTTTTTCAAGGTTAAAAGAAAATAATATATATACATATTAATTTATTTTAATATATATATATATATATATATATATATATTATAGTTTATATAACTTGATGTAATTTTATATTTATTAGATTGGATGCTCTCAAACGTCACAAACAAAATCCAAAAAATCGCAACACATGTCAAATGACATTATTCGTATAAAATGAAATGAACAATTTTTAAAGTTTTTTTTTTTTTGTTTGTTAACATAATTATTATATATAAGAATCTAATCATTATATAAGTAATTTAATCAACTAACAGCAATATAAACGTTTTTGTAAATCTAAACAATTTAACGACAATACAATGATAATTTTAACTTATGGGCAAGTATTTTTGATATCAGGATCACGAAAAATCTCGATAATCGCAAACTTTTTTTTTTAAAAAAAAACTATTTAATTATATATGAATAAAATTACCCATCAGGAGAAATTTCAATTTCTTCCATTACTTCCAAAGTTATGACATCTCTCGAATTCAGAATAGGATTAAATTACTTTCAACTCCATTATCAATCAAATACTACCATTTGTCAACTCGGCAATTCATATAAAAAAATATTAATTAGATCTTTATCACTTTTCCTAATTGATGCTAGCTGTTTAACAAACTTATCATAATTGACACGTATTCATGTTGACATTAAGCCTTCTCATTCATTCTCGATTTTGGCAATTCCAACCATAGCGTGAACATTTATCCAAGTTTTGCATCATAATTTGAATGAGCTGTAAAATATTATGCGAAATACTAGAATGTGGTATAGTATTATATTGTTCTAATTCAATAATTGGCTCTTCTACATAATAAATAAAATGACGATTTTTAACACATATATATTAATATGAACATTCGTGCTGCAAAGAATTTCAGGGCCCAAATCACGTTATACTTCAAGAATAAGGATTTGCCAATTATTGTGCCTCTAATATTTTATCATCAAAATTTATCGAGGTCCAAAACCATACAACTCGGTAAGTTGTAAATGGTATTTGTAATTACAAGTTTGACATTGAATGTATCGAAAATAGTGAAAGAAATGTGAACAAATCAGGAATCTATGTGTCTTCCAGCTACATTCAAATAATAAGCTATTCATTCTAAATTTCTTAGCTTAATTTAAATTCTTTGAATAAATTAGGAAATGTAATCATCAATGACCCAAGGTGATGAAACGAGGGATGGTGAAAAGGCAAAAGGGAATAAATATCTATAAAAAGTTTGTAAAAATTCCTAAATTCCTAATTAATTTGTTTTTATAGAAAGGTGTGCTGTCTTTTAATTCCTTGCCTACATACAAATAAAGTACTCAAATATTGTCATGATTACAGATCTAAATGCTACATTATGTAGTGTTAATGTTTAAAATAAAATTATTATTTTTATTTTTATTATTATAAATAAATAAATAAATAAATAATTTAAATAAATAAATGCTAATAATAATATTATTATTACTATTAATATTAAATATTAATTAAATTAAAATCATTTATCTTGATTATTAATCCAATTATTATATTCATACTCGTATTTTTTTTCAGCATCATCCAAATAACCATCATCACCATCAGATGATGATATAGCAACATAATTTTCGGGTATTAAACCAACCTTACCATCAAGTTCAGCTACTAACCACCCAACACATTGTTGGTAATTTATTGTTAATATATCACCTTCTTTAAAACTCAATTCTGATGTATTCTCTGCCAGGAAATCATATAGTGCACAAGCCTTCTTATCTTTATATTTTCCATCATCTTTTTTATTGGCATAATTATTGGTGTGATTTTTACTACTACTACTACTATTATTACTACTACTATTACTATTATTATAATGACTACTACCATACATATTATTAATATTGCTATCATCATCTATAATATAATCATCATCATTATTATTGTCATAATTATAATAATCATAATCATCATTATCAAAACAATCATTATCATCTAATGATGTGATCATATTTTGTCCCCAATGTCTTGGATCTTCTATTGGGAAAGCAAAATCTCTTATTTTTATTAGAATCTAAAATAAATAATTTAAATAATTCAACACTTTATATTTTTTATGAAAAAATTATTACTGAAATTAATAAGAGATTATTATGATTACCGAATCCTGATTTGATCCACCATTTAATTTTGGTTTATTTATATTAACATCATCTTTTATCATGTCATCATCATCACTTTGATTCTCTTTATTATTGTATTTTATTGATTCTGGATTGATGGATTTTAAATTTAAATTATTATTATCATTATTATTATTATTATTATTATTGTTATTATTATTGTTATTATTATTATTATTATTATTATTATTATTATTATTATTATTATTATTATTATTATTATTATTATTTTCTGTTGTTTTTGTTTTGCTGAATGAATTCATTTTTAAATCTATAATAACTACAAAAATATTATTAATATAATATTAATATAATTTATACATATTCAGTAGTAATATTAAGGTGGATGGATGAAATCTACAAATATATGTGTTAAAACATAATTATTAAATAAATAATTTTAAAAAAATTATAAAAAAAAAATTTGGACTCTAATTATGATATAAATCTTACCTTCTAATAAAATTTCATTAAGAAAACAAGAAAAATTATTGATTATTGAATATAATCAGTTTATTAATTCTGTAATTGTTAGAAAAATCGTCGATCTTTCTAAATTTAGTAATAATAAATTTAGTGTTTCGGTATTTATGACATGAATTCCGAACATGTAATAATAATAATAATAATAGTGATAATAAAAGGGATGCCAGAAAACGACGGAGGCGGGTTCAATCCACACTTGCCCGTCCCCCGTCCTTTTCAAGTTTGGCCCATTAATACTAGAAAAGGACGGGTGATGGTACGGGTATTCTGCAAAATAATGTAAAAAAGGACGGGTAACTAACATGGAACAGATGTGGCGTGGTGAAGGCGCAGAAACCCGTCCCCCGTCCTTTTCTATTATTCATGGGCAAATCTGAAAAGAACGGGTTACTATGCCATTACCATCCGTCCTGCTGCTCCTTTTCATTATTCGCGGGTAAACAATGAAAAGGACAGATTAAAGGTGTTTGTTAAAAATATAATTTTTAATAAACAGGCTGCATAATTGAACTATTATAATTTCCCGTCTCTATTTATTTCTTATCTCCAACATCATATGATTTTGTAAAATAATAATAATGGCTTCCTTGAGATCTAACAATTTCACCCATGAATTATACATCATATATTGATTTTAGTTTTTCTGGTTAATCTTCCTTTAATCTATCTCTCTTGTGGTTTGAACAATGCCTCCAACTGTTTTGGGGAGTTGAGAAATAGCATAAATCTTCTCATCCTTAGAACTAATACTTTGATACTATCATTGCAATTAAGTGCCCTTTTAATGCAAATTTGCAATGTATGAGCTTCGCAAAGAATTCTTTCAATATTTAATGAATTTTTTAATAATCTAGAGCCTAAAACCATATTACTGTCATTACCAACAGTGATAGAAATGATCTTTTCCTCTGTAGCCACTTTAATATTTCTTTCTCTAATAAATTTTGTATGTGGATAGGGAATGTAAAATAAGTTTAAAAGTGTCTCAGTTAATCCAAAGTTTTCAGAGAGCCAAGAACAAGCTATACTCATATATCCTTTTTTGATGCAAAGCAATCCAAAAATCTGTGGTCAATGAAGCAAATTGGCAAGTACCAACAAGCTTGTTTTGAATTTCATTAGATGAAGTATTATACAGATGCACTATTAATTCCTTAATTAAATTTGTGTTTGAAAGGTTTGAATTGGGATTTAGAAAGTAAATATATTTTTGAAAATTAGGACTTTTCAAGATATAAAAAGGTGAAGAATCTTTTATTATAAACCAATTTTATAACATGAATCAATAAAATTGATGAAATAATCAATAAAATAAAGCCAAGAAAATCATAATCAAAAATAAATCAAACCAACCTCTAGCAATAAAAAATATTCAGAAGAAATTGAAAGGATTTCAAACAATTGTTTGATAAAATGATCGAATTATACTCAAATTTTCCTTTAGTAAAAAAATGATGGTGAAAATCTATAAATTACTTAGCAAAGGAAAAGGAGTTGCTGCTTCTACAATAAAAAATTTCTATTTACCAATGAAAAATGAATCCCAGAAGGAAACAATAGAAGCAACCCAGTAATAGATTAATAAGGAAAAAACCAAAGAGTGACATAGAAGATACTAATATTAGTAATAATAATGATATTATTAAAAGTTATAATCAAAAGAATAGTAATAATGAAAGCTATATTTTTGTCAGAGTGCCCAAAAAATAGGTAAAACTCACAAATGGCTTTGGATCTGAGTATTTTCCTCCTATGCAAGTATATACTCTGAATATTTTTTTTTTTCAGGAGTAGTAGTCCATTTACTATTGGTCAAAATTATGCATAGGAACAATTAATTAATTAATTTTTTTTACTTTGCAAAAAAAATGTCTATTATCGAAAAATATAAAAGGAATTGGAGCGAGCAAACAAGAAGTATGAAAGGTTGGAAGGGGGAGGTTAGAGAGGTTGAATGAGTTGGATAAAGTTTGCGGGAAAATAATGAAATAATGCTAAAGAAAAAAAAGTCGAAAAGGTTATACTTGAAGAAAAGAAAAACAAAGCCGGAAGACTAATATTAATACTACCAAGTGAACAATTACCTAATAAATCTTATTATTGCATAATTGAAAAAGTCCATTTTCAAGTAATACCGGGTTATACAATTTATGTCGATCATCGAATTAGATGGCTACAACTTGGAATCAATATGACCGATCAACAACAACCCGAACTCTACTTTTTATTTGTTTAACTTGTCAAGCTTGATTTTGTTCTGTTGAAATTCAACGAAATCATTATGTTTCAGATTGACATCGATACAATTTAAAAGGGAAGGTTGTCGAATTACCACCTGTAACCTTGGAAGTATTTACTCAAAAAGTCTTGGGGACCTTTTAAATTATGAAGATGAGATAAAGATAACCTTTAGTAAATAAAATTTATGTTGATTTAAATGTATGCTAATATTATTATAATTGTTATTTAAAACAAAAATTTAAAAGACAAGCACTTTATTATTGGTGGATAAAAAGATAGAAACTTCTATTTGTTTAGGAGAGATGGATTGTTTGTTCTGTACACATAAGTCCGATACAATATCACTCATATGACTAAAGTTCATAGTTTCTTCATACCTGAAATTGGATATTTAGTTGATATACATGGATTAATTAAATATTTAGGAGAAAAGATTTCGGTCGGTAATGTATGCCTTTACCGTAATGGACGTGGAAAAGAGTTTTCAAAGTCTTGAAGCTGTTAAAAAACACATGGTAAATTTTTTCTTTTTACCAAGAAAAAAATAAGTTTTCAAGTTTTCAACTAATAAAAAAAATTTATTATTTAGATTGATAAAAGGTCATACTATGATAATTTATGATCAAGAAGATGATATTATGGAAATATCTGATTATTATGATTTTAGATCTAGCTATTCTGATGTGGATATTGATGATAAATGTGAAGATATTGATGATGAGGATGAGGATGAATTACCAAAAAGGTATTGGAAGTTTATTAAATAATTTATTTCTTTATGAATGAATGAATAAATAAATAAACAATCTGAATATCTGTGAAATATATTGAATAGGAACATGATATATCAAAATAAAGTGGAATTAGTGTTGCCTTCAAGTGCACGTATTGGTCATCTCACTCCTTAGCAAGATATTATAAACAAAATCTCCGTAATAAGAGGTATTTAAGAGATTCTACTAGGAAACTTTATTGATTTTATTGCAAATTAATTAATTAATTAATCAATCAACTGTTTGTTTATTTATTTCATGATGATGGTGATGATGATAATGATAGGAAAATAAAGACATTTCAATAATTAAAAAATTGATAACTCATTATGCCAATAGTATGGGTTACTCGCAACAATCTGGAGGTGTATTAATCACACATGATGGCGAAAAAAATTTAAAAATTCTTCAACGAAATAATTATCAAGATAAAAGATGTCAACAGAGTTTTGATACACACATTGGAATCAAAGCAAATAAATTACAACGGTATTTTAAACCACAAGTTATGTAACTAGATTGGAAATACATTGTGCGAGTATTATTTATTTTCACCAATAATATAATAATAATTTAATAATAATAAAATTTTATTAAATTCCTCAAAATATATCTAAAAAATCTTATTTAATATTTACTAAAAGAAACAATTTAAAGATATTGTTTAATAACGTTTCGAAGGTGACTCTAAACCTTTACGAGCGTTGAAAAACTCTTTATTGATCGTCATAAGCTAGATAAAAAGAAAAAGAATTAATAAATATCGCTTTTAAATTGCTTATCCATAAGGACTCGAAAGATGAATTTCAATAAATTTATTATAAAACTTTTTACTTTATAATTTTGATGTTGCTCGATTTTATTCCAAGGTTGTTGTCCGTCCAATCTTTTTAAAACCACATCAGGACATGTTGTTAGTGTGTAAATCCCGTATCTTGATTTCGATATCAAAATTTCAATATTGATGATATAAAAAAAGATAAAATATTAAAAACATATATAATTAAAAGAGACTTACGCTGCACCTACGACAACTCCCCCACTAGCTGCGACAAGCAATGGAACAAGCTAAATATAAATAAAATATAATAGTTTGTTATTTTGAATATTATTTGAAAAATTACTATTATTATTTCTACTACTTACTGCAATATTTTGTCTTAAAAAGTTTGAAGCCATCATTAATTATTATTACGGGTAATTTTATTTTTAATTTCAAGAAGAGAAATTAACTATCCCATCATTTAAATATCATTCATTCTATTATTACATTACTATGATTTTTTAATTCTTCTAATTTTGTCATTTGTCCATGGGAATATTTTTCATACTGATTGATAATATTTCAACACGTGATTTTTAGCCACAAGATAGATATCAAAAAAATGATAAATGTATGAACATATTTTGTTGCTTGGGGATCCATGGCTACGTTATTTGGTAGTTTATTTGAGAAATATATATCTGGCTGGATAAATCTTTGTGATTTATATCAAACAAAAGCCCTGGTTCATGTGGTTACGAATATAATTGTTAAAATTTTGCTTTATGAAAATTGGCAAATATTTTTTGCGAGGAATTTGTTACCGTTACTTTCTAAAAAAAAAAATTACAATTCATCTTTATCTTCGTTCCATAATAATTCGATCAAGGTCTAAAGGCTGAGTCCAACCTTCTAGAACATTCATTCTTCTTAGAACAAGATGTATTTAGAAAACAATAGTATTACTAATACTAATTACTCAAAGTCTCTTAACAAAGGCTTTTCACCAATAAAAGATGTTCCGAAGGGCAGTCTAGAATTAATATATCACTGAAAAATATCATAATTTTTTAAATTTACAATACAAATTAATGAAGCAAGTGATGATGATAAATTTAGATCCTTCTAATTTTGAGTGGCCAATCCTTATTTTTAATTAATTATTTAATTAGAATGATGATGGAGTCATACAATCTTTTATTTTTCTATTTATTGAAATCTGGTAAATCTAATGTATCATAACTTCAAAACCATTCACTGGTAAAGACCTATTCAATCCGATTCGTCCAATCATCCCACTCATTGGTGACAATAAAAATCTTAATTAAAAAAAAAAGATCAAAATCATATTTATGATTATTTGCTGCTAGCAATAGTTATTATAGTGGTAATCACTTTTCAATAAGTAAATTTACTTCATTTATTTATCACTATTATTGTTGTTGTTATTGTGTTGTAATAATTAATTTTAACAACTATTATTAGATTATTATGATTATTCGTTAGATCTTTACAATTCTGCTGATTTAATAGATGATAATATGAAGAAATTGGTTTGATAACTGAAAATCATTAAAAACAGAGAATGTTCCCAGGATTATGAAAATATCACAGAAACCTGCGAAATAACCAACTACGAACTATACAGTTCTTTCCAATAAATTGGAATAACATCAAGAAACCAGTAAGGATTGAGGAAAAGAAGATGATAATTAAACAACTTGGAACCAAAAGAAAGGAAGATTTAAAAAAAATATTAATGATAAAATTGAAGAAGCAATAAGAATTCAAAAGGATATCGGCCTGAATGTTCATCTTTTAAGAGAGAAAAACAATACACCAAACAAAAATTTGCACCAAACCCAAGAACCGAAACCAGAAATATAACAAAAACTTCAAAGAAGGAACGTCCATAGAAAATTTTCACTTTGAAATAAAAGAAAATTAGCAAAAGAAGTTTTCGACTAAAAAAAATAAGCACATAAAGAAGTTAGTAGATGAAAAATTGATACAATGAATGACAATAAAAAAAATAATCCGAGAACATTTCAGACGAATACAGTTAATTCTAATTCTAATTAATTAATTATTACTATATATATATTTTCATAATAATCTCATTGAATGACGATCATTTATGTTTTTTGTCTTGATATAAAATATAACTCCTAAAATATTTTTCTAACACACAGTGAAAGAGTAAGTTGCTAGCTTCCGTTTAATACTATTTTTATTGCACAAAGTAGGCTAGACGGATTTTGAAATTTCGTTTTGAAACGTTAATGTTGTTTGATTGATTGGTTTGGCATTTTGACTTTTTTACTTGAAACAAAATTATATTAATGTAATAACCAAACTCCTTTCAATCAATTAAATTATGAAAATTTCATAATTGGCAAGTGTGATACGAGTATAAATAGCATAAATGCGTTTTTTAGCTCTTTATAAAACTTTATAATTCTCTTTACAAAACATTTTTAATTTTCATTCTTTCGTTGTTTATATTAAAAAACATGCCTAAAAAACATAATAATAGTATTAGCAAACCTGACAAAAACTTCAACTTCAAAGAAGTCACAATTACTTTTTCACCAATAACAGTCTTATTGTTTATATTAACGATTCTATCAGCTATATACAGTTATGATAAATATTATAAAAATCAAGTAACCTGTCAAATTGTTGTTCCAATCGAACAAGATGATAAATATCAATGGTTCTCTGCTCCTGAGCATTTAACTTCCACTGCAAGTTATAAATCTTTAGACAATGGAGCATTTGTTTACCGGCATATTTTCATGGATGAATTCCAGGAAGAATTCAATGTCAAACCAATTCAATTTCCAGTTAAGCGATAGAGACTATTATAACCTTTATTCTTTTTTATTGTTTAATCAATTAATCATACCCGATCTATCAATAAATCAAAGTAACTTATTATCGTTATTATTGTTGTTATTATTATTATTATTATTATTATTATTAGATAATTGATCCAATTCTTAAAGAATATATAAGAAAACATAATCTTACATTTCGTTTGAAGAATGAAACAGAAGAATATATACATCAATCAATATCAGCGTCATCAGAAAGGTATGCACCATATATTTCCAGTTTTAAAAAAAGAGTAGAAGAAGGTACTTATGTTGATGATGGAAGTGTTTATGTTCGTTGGGTAAATGATGATGTAAGATATGGAATGTTTGCTGGCAAAGATTTCAAACCAGGAGACGTTATTGGAATCTATGCTGGTAAGATTTTATTTACATGATTGTTATGATAAATTAAGTAAATTTGTTAAATGAATTAATGTTTTAAATTAATTAATGATTCATTTCAATAATATTAGGTCTGATAACTCCTTCTTCAAATGATCTTGAATATGGTAAAATTCAAATATTCCATTAATATTAATATTAATGACAATCAATAATAATAATAATAACAACAACAACAATAATAATAATTTTTAGCATGGGAATATAATTATCTTGTTGATGTTAAAGATGAAGATGGTGAAAAAATAGCTGTTTGTATTGATGGTAAACATTCAGGAAATTACATGAGATTTGCTAATCATAGAGACGGTAAATTATTAATTATTTTTTATTGATTGATTAATTTATTGATTGACTGATTTATTGGTTTTCAATTTCAATTCATTGTTAGATAACCAAAACGGAGGGCAATTATATGTTGTACATGATGATATGTGGAATGTAGTTTACACTGCTCACACTCATATCAAAGTAAGCAATGATTAATATTATATATTTTTATATTTATTATCTCAGATATATTAATTAAATTTTTTTCTAGACCCATGAACAAATATTCGTTAATTATGGTCAAGCATATTGGAATAGTAGGAAAAAATATAATTTATAAATATTAATAATTAAAATAGATTTTATATTTCAATATCTATTATCAACGATGATATGAAAAGTAGTAATAGTAGTAAACAGTGATGATGGCGATGAAAGCGTCGAAGCAAATTTCTTTTGAAGTTGATAATTATAACATTAAACTTATTAATAAATATTCTGATGCATTTTCTAATTTTAGAGAAAAAAGAATTGCATAATAAAATAATCTAATAATAACATCACATATTAATTTAATTTGATCAATAAATGGTAATTCTACCATGATTCTATCCTTTATTAATTCAATTGTAAATATTCTACTACTCAACTTTCCTACAAGTTTGATAAAATGATTGATTAAATACATAATTTCAATGTTTGGATTTAATTTAAACCTTGTGCGCTGTTGTCGTGAAAACTTTAAAATGTTGGTATTAAAGAATCTATTATCTTTTTATTGCTTTCATAATAATATGGAACTATATTTTTCGGGTCTGGTACGATTTCCTGACACTATTTCCCGGCAAGACGTTTTCCGACAACTCAATAATGGTCATGGCAAGAAATAATTTATTTGAAAGTTTTTTCCAATAATTTAGGATTTAGAAAAATTTTTAATTCAATGTTGGGATGGTCGGTCTCAAAATGTAAAAGAATGAGATATCATTTGGATCACAATTCAATATTAAACAATTTATAAATAAAGCCCTTAACGGAAAATATATAGGAAATGTACAGTCGAACCTTTGTTTCAGCGAATTTTTGTTTTGGCCTCATTTTTTAATTAACAGTTAATTAATATTAAATATTTTCGTTTCAATGAATTTCATATTTACAACGGACAACGAATTTATTGGTAGTAGTAGTATTAGCATTTTAATATTAATATTAATAGTAGGTGCTAGTCGCGTTACAATGAATTTACGCGATACAAAACATTATATTCAAATAATAAAAAAGATGAAAGTGAACAATAATAATAAATTGTTTAATTAAAAGATAACATTATCAAATTACAAAAAATCTGTGTAAATAAAGATGAAATTTTCTTTTATCAAATTTTTACAATTAAAAATTTTTTTACAATTAAAACCTTTGAAAATGTCTCAACAACAATCATTATCGTCATCCATTAAAAAATGCGTATATATCAACTACTGGACAAAAAATAAAACTATGTCTCTCATATTGATAGGCTCCCTATGTAAAGCTATATTTATTCAAAAACAGCATTACTTTTTACTTCAAAACTAAGATTTTTACCAATATTGCCTTTATAAACTTAGTGGGTGGTTAAAAAAAGAAAAAATAGTTACCAGAATTAAACGATGAAGAAGATATTTTGGCCGAATCCTTTAATTTCGGGCTAAATTAAATTTTATTTCTATTTTATTTAATCTATTTTTATTTACATAAGTTTTATTTTTATATTTCTATTTATTATTAATAACTTGTATAATAATAATTATCTATATTCGTGTATATTTATTTATTATTTATTATTATTATTATTAATTAATCCGTAACACGTTCATATTTATTTAAACTTTATTTAGTAGAGATTAATGACGATTCTCGGATTCGCGCAATTCGGGCTAATATGTAAAGAATATGTATATAAAGAACTTAATTTCGACCTAATGTAAAAGTAACTTCTGATAAGTTAATTGGTTTCGACCAAATAAAACTAAATAAATAAATAGTGATATTTTATTTAAATAAACTTTTATCTTCTTTGAACAAAATTATTTGCTAATCCGAAATCAATTCGTTGATCCCCTATTCAATCTGATCCACACAAAAATAAAAACAATTGTTATCACCAATTAAAAATACGCTGTCCCAAATTTAATCGGTGACAATATTGTAAGTTTTCATATGGGTATAGCTTTATGTATGGCACGCCAACCATGACAAAAGTCTACATTATTTGACATTTAAAATGAGGGTGGCTTTATTTTAAATATTTTCATCCCTGTTTTAAATGATTTAAAATTTATTTAAAATGTAAAATTTTTTATTTTAAATGTCACAAATATTACTTAAAATGGCGTCACATGAATTGGATCACTTTTTCAAAAAAAAATTACAAATTTAGCAATTAACATTTTAAACGAAAAACCTTTCATTTTAAATGATATTTTCTTTATTTACCTGTTTTACTTCATTCTAACTAAACATAGTTAGACGTTATTTTAAATAATAATTTATTTATTTTAAATAGTTAAATTATTATTTTAAATAATTGCTAATTTATTTTAAATAGTTAAATTATTATTTTAAATAATTGTTAATTTATTTTAAAATACAAAGTGTTATTTTAAAATAACTGTTAATTTGTTTTAAAGTAGTTAAGTGTTTATTTTAAGTAATTAAATGTTATTTTAAATATTTTTTTTTCTTTTAAACATTTTTAAATTATTTAAAATGTTTAAATTTCATTTAAAATGTTCCAATTCATTTAAAACATTCCAATTCATTTAAAATGTTTTGATTTCAAAATGTTTCGATTTTATGAAAATTTACATTACTTATTAATTAGGAAAATGAGTCAATTAATACCTTTATTAGGAAATGAAAGGAGGTAATTAAGGTTCACGGATAATCCAATATTTTTTTCCACGTTAAAAAAAAATAAAGTTTTTTTTTCGCGCTAAAAAAACAGTTTTTTTAAATTAATAAGTATTTTTAAAAAAGCAAATGAGTAAACCAAGACGGTGTTATTATTTTTATCCTGATTCTAATAAACATTGTGAATGCAGAAAACTTAAAACTATTGAAGATGAAGAAACATGTAAAATATGCAATCATGATGAATCATGGCATGAACAGGTATTGTTTTGTAGTATTATGTCATTTTTTATTAAGTTGTTTCAGTGTCATATATTTACACATTAACATATGTATATTTTAAGTTATGTGAAAATGATCTCAATCATACTCCACAAACACAAAAGGCGAATCAAATTGCTAACAATAAAGATATTGAGAATTTTTTAGTCACCACTCAAAATATTAGATCTAATCTCAAAATAAATCTTCAAAGTCAATTAATGAATAATAGTTCACAAAAATTACAAAAAAATAAAGAATATAAATTCACATTCTTTTTTTTACCAAAAAAAAATAATAATAAAATACCAAAAGGAAAGAAGTAAGTACAATAAACTATGTACTGTCAATTGGTCAATTAATTACTTAAAATTAAAATTTTCAACTGCTAACTTTGCAAATTTTTTTTCTATATTAGTAGGGAATCTATGCATGCTGCTGGATTTGTGAAAGAAATTGGTTTTCGAAAAAAAGACAATGTGAATAACAAAATTATAGAAGCATTTCCATTTAGTAAAGAATCAGGATATAATATTTACAAAGTAGTAAATAAAAAGGATCTGGTTTTATGTCACCCAGAAAAAAATATAGAACAACTAAAAAAGTAAGTTAAATGATATTTGATTTGATCTTAATTTGTTAATTTATAATAAATGTTTAATATTTTTTAAACATTATAAAAGGATTGCGACTGGTAGAAAATATATATATTTAGCACCAAAAAAACATGATCTAATATCAGAGGATTTATTTTCTGATGATAATGGTGATGAAAGTGTAAACAACAGTGAAGCTGATGAAGCTGATGAAGCCAATGTGCATGATGATGAAGTCAGACATATTGAAAATCCAACACAAAATAATAATTCAAGCATTTCTGTTATTCAAAAAAATCATACAACACTCTCCAACAACACTGTCAATAGTAAGGTTGCGGGAGAAACTCCTCCAGAAATCAATCGACAGAGTTTCGACAGGTTACACATTAATTGTTTATTAGAGTTTCGGCAGAGTTTCGCATTTGGGGTTTTCGCCAATCATCAGAGTTTCGACAGGTTACACATTAATTGTTCATTAGAGTTTCGACAGAGTTTCGACAGTCATTAAGAGGTTTCGCCCACAACCTTAGTCAATAGTTATCACTCCATCACAAATGATACATTATCCTCAATTAACTCCTCAACAAATTATCCTACATACTCGATTATTGACCACTCTAATAGTTCAAATGTTGATTACCCCTGTTCTACAAGATCTAATATTGGTTCAAATGATTATTCTACAAGAACAAACACTGTTATCAATATTGATGATAATGATGATGATAATGAAAAAAATATCAATGAAGATCAAGGTATTGATTTATTGCTCCTTAATAATAAGAACTATATTATAATTTTTGTTAATGATGAAAATTATTTTGAATGTCAAAATTAGGAGTTATTCTTCATAATGAGCTCAAAAAATATTATAATGCTGGAAAAAAAGAAACTAGGATTGAAATTGATACTTATGATTTAATAAGTGAAACATTATTTCATTGGGCCTGTACTGCAACCAAGATAGATATTTTTCAAAATCCGTATTTCATTGTGCCATCAGAAGAGTAAGTTTTAAAATATTTAGTTTAATAATTTTATTTCATGATTTGTTTATACTCAACAAACTTGAATATATAGTCTAACCATTGTTTTAATGAAATTGCATTTAAAATTCATCGTTAATGAAACTAACATTTTTATGTAACAAAAATTTAAAAAATTCGAATTTAATGTTAATTAAATTTATTATTTATTTAAAAGTGTTATAGATACTGGTGGAGGTTTTAGGGATGCTACTCATAAATTATGGGAGGATTTAAGGAATAAAGGATTAAAGAACAATTCTTTAGAATTGATTGGAAATTACATATTTTTGGCAGAAAATCAAACTTCAATTGGTGATAAATTTGGTTTTATTTTGGGGAAATTGTTAATTTGGTGCCTTTTGCATGGTGGTGCCTGGCCATCTTGGCTCCATCCTATGCATTTACATTATATTTGTGATAAGAATATTAATTATATTGAAATCTTTAAAGAATTAAATCCAAATATATACAATTGCATCAAAAAATTAGAATCAGGTGATAACTCACATTTTAAAGATGTTATTGATTATGCTAAACATTACAATGAGAATGTAAGTTAATTCATAATAAATCTTTCTAATTATCCATTCCCATTAAGAACTCAAATATTTATTACACATATTTAGAGAATTTTTCAAATCAATCGGAAGGATATTGCAAACCATATTTCAAAATTTGTAATATTGGATAGTCGAAAAAATGTATTAGATGACCTGAAGAAAGGATTTAATTATTTTGATCAAATCCAGGTATTTAAGAATTTTAAATATAATTATTTTAATTTTAATGATCTATATATTAATTAATTATATTTTTGATGTAGACATTGAGAAACATGAATTTTACAAAAATATTATCTGCTTTATATATTAAATTAGAAGGTAAAATGGTCTGGTGCCAATTTGATCATGTATATAATGAAAAAATCTTTAAAAACGAAAAGGCCAAAAGTGAATTATATACTTTGTTAAAAAATTGGGTTTTAAATCAAAATGAAACAACACTTGATAAATTTTTAAAGTTTATAACTGGTTGTAATCGTTTTCCTGTCAAAGAAAAAATCAAAGTAAATATTTTTCATTATTTTATTGATTTAATATTAACCTCTATCAAACTAAATATCCTATATTGTTATAAAAAGGTCCACTGGAGGGTTAGTAATTCAAAAAAAATGTTAGGACGTATTCCAATGGCAAACACTTGTTCCTGTGTGTTGATTCTATGTGAAAATTTTGAATTATCCGAGGGTGATAAAAAAGCTTTTGAAGAAAGTTTGGTGATTGCATGTGAAAATAATGAAGGATTTTCAGAATCCAGCATAATAAAAATTAATTATGATTACCCAATTTTTCAAGGAATGAATCCATCAACACCTCAAAATCAAAACCATCAACCTTTATATACAAGCAATAATGATAATTTACAATCCAATTTTTCTCATCAACAACAACTACTTAATACATTTGACAATTCACAATCATCAGCTAATTCTAATTTATGTTTTCAACAATCATGCAATATCTTTGATAATCCACAATATAATGTGTCTCATCAACAATTTTTTCCAAATGTTAACTTAAATTTTTCACAACAACCATCCAACAACTTTGTTGAACCACAGTTTAATGTTACTCAACCTTTAGATTACAACTCATTCTCTAGGCTCCAAAATTACAATACTTACAGTTATAATCCTTTAAATCTAACTAATAACCGTCAATTCAATCAGTTTATTAATCAAACTTCAGACAATTTTAACAACAATAAAAAAAGAAAAAAGAATAACAATTAAAATAAATTTATAAGATATGGTTGCTGCTATTTTTTAAAATTGGAAACTGTTTATTTTAAAATTACTATTTTTAGAGTGATAATTCTATTTTTTTTTTTATATATATATATATAAAAAAATATAAAGTTTAAAATATTTTTTTTCTGATTCATTTCATTAAAATTTTAGTTCAATGCAATAAATTTAGTTAACCATTTAAGTCTTACAAATTTAAAATAAAATAAAATATAAACTAAACATATCTTCTATTCAATATTTCTTTAACTTTAGCTATTACATCTAAATAAACATTTATTCCATAATTATTATCTTCTCTATCTATACCCACTGAATTTAATAATTCATGATATTCATTTTGGTTTAAAACATTTCTAGGATCTTCAACAACCACAGCAGCAGCATTATCATCTGAATTTGATGGTATAGGCCCTTCCCAGTCAATCCCATACAGTTCATTGACATTAAAATCTTCCATTCCTCTATATCCACATTCAATCATTCCAGATGTAAATAATTGTAATGGAGTCTGAAAATGTTCAGTACGAATTGAATGATTATTCCACCCATCTACAAATAATTTAAGGCTTTTATTAATACGATTCAAATAAGTTAAATGCAAACAAAATAAATACACATTATTATCAATATCTAATTCAAAATTTTCTTCTAAATATAGAAAAATAGTTTTATATATCTTTAAAACACATCGATTTATATCACCCCATAACCTTTCAATGCGTTGATTATGAACAGAGCGTCCTGCTATAAAACTACCACGTCCATACCCTCTATATCTTTCCATAAATTGCTTTACTAAAGCATTTTCACCACCATGATCTGCCCTTACTCTACTTGGAATACCAAATTGTTCTATTCCTTTTTGAAATTGTGTTAAAACAGTAATGGATTTATTGTTACTACTGCAGTTACAAAAAGTGATCATTCGTGAATAACCATCTATTCCTGCATGCACAACAAATTTCCACCTAATTAGCTTGTGATTTCCATCAATATGCCAAAGTGCATTTGGGCCAGCAACTTGATAAACACGCCTTGGAATTATATTGGACCATCTTTGTACCATTCCCCAAGCATCAACACGATTTAATGACTCACGTAGCCTTTGACGATGAACACGTATTCCTCTTGAACGTAATACACCTGCTATTATTATCTGTCCAGAAAATGGTTGTTCTCTTTGTATGTTTCTGATTTCGTTATCTAAATCATCATTTGATATATTAGTGTATGCTAAATCATCAGGCAAATTCAATTCAATTCTTCTTCTTAAAATTGTTCTATAAGAAACACCAAATATATCTGCAATTCGTATCCATGTATGTCCTTCTTGTCGCAATATTCTAATAATATTTTCATTAATCAATAGTTTTGGTCTTCCTCCATTTTCTTCTCTATATAAAAGAGGTTGTGATGCCTCATTTTGTAAAAGATTGATCCTAGACTCAATCATTTCTTTTAAATTTGATAATTGAATTAATCTATGGTCCACATTATATTGCAAACCCAAATGGACATACATTGAATGCAAAGTTTCAATTTTTTCCAACTGTAATTCCAATGAATTTAAATCTTCACCCTCATGGAGAATACGGGAAGCTATTCTAATTATTTCTTCAGCAAAATTTTCAAAATTTCTTTGTTGTTCATTCATTTTAATATTAATAGGCAATAAAAAATAATTAAGGTGTAAAATTGTTTTAGTATAATGAAATATAGCTTAAATCACTGCAAAATTAAAATCTAGTTTTATTATGTTTGCAATATTTTTTAACTGGCTACAAAATTAAAAGACAATTCAACAACTTAATGATTCAATTAATATAACAAAGCAATTAATATGGAAAGATGTATTCTTTTATTGGGAAGTGCAATATCTGTAAAATAAGAAATATAATTTCTTTATTAATATTTTTTTTTCAATTAGAAATCGATTAATAAATTTGGAAAAATTCATGAATTTTTTTAGTATTTCAATTTAAAATGAAAGGTTTTTCGTTTAAAATGTTAATTGCTAAATTTGTAATGTTTTTTTGAAAAAGTGATCCAATTCATGTGACGCCATTTTAAGTAATATTTGTGACATTTAAGATAAAAAATTTTACATTTTAAATAAATTTTAAATCATTTAAAACAGGGATAAAAATATTTAAAATAAAGCCACCCTCATTTTAAATGTCAAATAATGTAGACTTTTGTCATGGTTGGCGCACCATAACATAAGCCCTCCTTACTTCTAAAAATATATTTCGAAAATTAAATATTTCCTAAACAAGATTTTTTCAACCCCCTTCGGTATATACAAGTTGGACAAGATTTCGTGAAAATATAAATACAATTAATTTTTAATTCGCAATAATTAATAAATAATTTTTTTCATTAAATTTTTTTAATTTTGTTAATGATATAAGGGAAAAAAATTATTTATTTTTACAAAAAAAAACAAACGCATATAATATACCATTGAACTTTATTCGATTTTTATCTATTATTATTATTATTATTTTACCAAAGGACAAAATGAACAAAACTAGCACAAAAACATTGATAGCACTTTTAGTAGTTCTGATAAGTTTTATTTTCATTGTCGAGTTCACAAGTCCAATTCAATCAATTAATATTGGACATTTACAAAAAAGACAAACTCCGGGTAATTATAATTATCTTTATTTTATATTACGCATTTGATTGATTCTAATTGATTTATTTATTTAAGATTCAACACTTACTATCTAGATTGATTTTTAATTAATTAATTAAATAAATTATTTATTTTTGATTTAGCACCACCACCAGACAACCCACCACCAAAGGATAATCGTAATTATATATTTTTATTTGTTAACTTTTTTCGTTTTTGTTTTTAAAATAAAAAAAAATTGATGTTTATATATTTATTTTATAGCACCACCACCACCAAAGGATAATCGTAATTACATATTTTATTTGTTAACTTTTTCGTTTTTGTTTTTAAAATCAAAAAAAAATGATGTTTATATATTTCTCTATTTATTTTATAGCACCACCACCACCACCAAAGGATAATCGTAATTATATATTCTATTTGTTAACTTTTCGTTTTTGTTTTTTTGAATCAAAAAAAAAAAAGATATTTATATATTTCTTTATTTATTTTATAGCACCACCACCACCAAAGGATAATCGTAATTATATATTTTATTTGTTAACTTTTTACGTTTTTGTTTTTTGAATCAAAAAATGATGTTTATATATTTATTTTATAGCACCACCACCACCAAAGGATAATCGTAATTATATATTTTATTTGTTAACTTTTTTCGTTTTTATTTTTAAATCAAAAAATGATTCTTATAAATATATCTCTTTATTTATTTTATAGCATCACCAGCACCTCGTAATTATTATTTGTTTATTCAGTTTTTTCGTCTTTATTTCTTGGATCAAAAAATGATGTTTTATTATTTATTTATTTCATAGAACCAACACCTGATGCAACACCCAACCCAAATCCATCACCACCTGCTCCAAGTGCACCACAAACACCAGCACCCAACCCAGATGCAACACCAACACCTGATCCAAATGCAACACCAACACCTGATCCAAATGCAACACCAACACCCGATCCAAATGCAACACCAACACCTAATCCAACACCTAGTCCAAATGCACCAGCACCCAACCCAAGTGCACCACCAACACCTGATCCAAATGCACCAACGTCTAATTCAACAACAACTGGTAAGTTTTAAGAAGGGAAATAGCACATATATATAAACAGAGTATATTGGTAGTTGTATCTCGAGATAGATAGATTTAGATTTCATTAAAAATATAATTATAACTATAAATATATACATTATAAATATATAGTTGTTAGTATTACTAGTGATACTACCACTAATACAGTTAGTCCAATTGTCGATAGCTCAGTTGTTACTAACTCAACTGGAACTAATGCTGATACAAATGCCGGTACACACACACATATATATGCTCAAAAGAGAATAAATTTGTTAAAATATATTATTTATGATTTTATTATTTTTCTTTTTACAGGTCCTAGTTCTAGTCCTAACACTGGTGTTACTTCTATATCATCAACAGGTAGTCCTTTCATACAATTAATTACACAATTAATATATTTATATTTATATTTATATTTATATTTACGTTTATATTAATTAGTTTCTCAATCTACTACTACGTCATATCCACCTGGACGAGAACCATGCACAAAAGCTGATGATCCAAGATGTGAACGTAAAACAACAGAGTGAGTGATTTTTGTTTTTAAAAGAAAAATTCATTATTTTCCAACAAATTAATTAAATTTATTGCAAAAAAAAAAAAAAATTAGCCCAACAGTGGTCAGCACAACAGAAGAGAATGAAATAATCACAGATCCACCAAAACCTACAAAAACCACAACATCCCAATCCCAATTAGGCTCAAGCCAAAAAAAATCAACCATAACACAATTCAAAACATACACCACCACAGAAACATCATATTTCCCAGGATACACCACTTATACATCTTCAACAGGGACGGATGGACAATTAACAACATATGCAACTTACATTCCACCAAGTACTGTTGTGGTGGTCAAGAAAGTTACCTCAGCAACTGTAGAGGAAATTCAAGAAAGTAATCCTGTTTCAGCTGGACATCTTGATCTGGAACTCTCAATTTATAATTTATACAGCATCGCTACATCATTATTTGTTATTTCTGTGACAATGCTTTATTTAATCATTGCTTAATTAAATAGTAGCATTAATTTCTGTAAAAAAAATAATTCATAGAATTAATGACTTGTAGCAATATTATTTATTTGATAGTACATCCACTTCTGTGTTTGTATATCTAAAAATCACACGTGATATTTTTTAATATTTAATTTAATTATTAAAATACAAATAATATTAGATTTGGTGTCTGTCTTCGTGACGATTCACTATAATTTTCTTATTGAAGTGTGGTTATAACTATTAAATGTTATTCTCAGGAACTAACAGCCACATGGTCTAATTTGACTAGGTATTTGTTTATTTAAATCATTTATTATTATCGTATCTGTTTACTATGTAATTAATCATTCAAAAATAACCAATAAAAAAATATATTTCTGTCAAGATTGAAGATGATGATATTATTAGCAGCAATTATAAATTGCATCAAACGAATAAAGAAATAGATAATACTCATCAATGGTTTTGGATCCGAGTATTTTTCTTCTTCGATGCAATTCCTCTGGTGATTTTTTCATATATATTTTAGTTGAATTGAGCATGAGAATACCTTTGTCCTTATTCCAGTATTCATAATGATTATGAAATACATTTGATACTATTGTTTTAAATTTGTGAAAATTAACAAAATTGGCAGATTGCAAAGTAATGATAATACTAGAAACATGCAGAAATGAAACTGGTTTGGTGGTGGGTTATCTGGCTTTGCTATAAAATAAATAAATAAAACATCATTTTTTTGATTTAAGAAATAAAAACAAAGAAAATAAACAAATGATAATTGTGATCATCCATTGTTGGTTTTAGTGGTGCCATAAAATAATTAAATAAAACATCATCTTTTGTTCAAGAAATAAAAACAAAGAAAATAAAATGATAATTACGATTATCCGGTGGCGGATCTTGTCTTTTTTGTAAATGTCCAATATTAGCTGATTGAATTGGACTTGTAAACTGAAGGATGAAAATGAAACTTATCAGGAGTATTATAAATGTCATCAATATCTTTGGGTTTGTTTTGTTCATTTTCGTTCTTTGATTAATAATAAATAAATAAATAATAATAATAATAGGAATAAAAGCTTCAATAATATATGTATATTTGTATTTAATTTTTTTTGTGTGGTTATTTATGAAAAAATTGCTTTAAAAAAAAAAAATTTCGAGAAAAAAATGAAATTTTCGCTTTGGACCCTTAAACGGGAAAAAATATTTTTTTTTGTTTAGGAAATTTATTTTAATATTTGAAAATTTGATTGGCCCGAATAAAATTATATCGATTCTAGAATGATCTACATGTTTATTTCACACAAATAATTATTATATATAGTAAAAAAGTGAACTTTAAAAATTTTGTAACTTTACACAAAAATTCTATTTCATCGAATATGCCTTTTTAATATTACCATTACCAGAATTTGATGTACAAAGCGAAATTATTTATATATTTGTTACACGAGTTAAATCGAAAATTTAATCTCTCCTTTAAGTCTTTTTATGATTAAGAGGTAGTTTTTGCTGTTGGAGACATTTAGTCATCAAAGTATGTTTGTGATTTCGCGAAACGTCAAGACAGTTAATGATGTGCCATTAGAAATGATTGGAAGGCTTGTACGCAAAAATCAATCATGTGATAAATTGATGACAAAAGATAAAGTTACACGATATTTTTTTAACTTGTGGCTTTTTGTTTGTAAATATTATTATTATGAGGTAAAAATTAGACAATCTACTATATATGATAAAAAAAAATCATTAACTGGGATTTAATCACATGATAATATGTATATCCAAAAAAAAAATATCAATCAATATATTAATATATTAATATTAATATATGAATTTTGTTTTTTTATTGGGCAAAAAATTAAATTTATGAATTAGAAGCCTTAATGTTTCTTATGCCATTTTTTCATTTAGCGATGGTTGAAATTTTTATTCTTTTTTGAAATTCTTTTAAATTTTTATTGATTCTTCCACCCAGAATCTCTAACAATATATTAGGATCCCTCGATTTATTACTACTAAAGATTCCTTTAATATAATATAAATTACAAAATTTTTATTCTATTGAATACAATAATACAAATTCATATTAATAATACCAGATTTAAATCCACCACGTTGAATTAATAAACAAGCATGTATAAATAACAATCAACATTTTTAATATCCAAATTATATAACGTTTGAAATACATAACCTTGGCTAACATTGTAGTTCTTCAAAAAACAGCTCTACGGCTAAATGACTAATTATTGTTATGCGACCATCAAAGAAAAAAAATCCAACATCAATAACAAAGTGCCCTAGTCGGTACTATTAATAATAATTTCTATTGTATATTTGTATTGATAAAACAATATATACAATAAGAATTATTATTAATAATAGTATCATTATCTGTTACCATACAATTAGGGTATTTTTGGTGGTCGCGTAACAATAAATCCATCATTTAACTATAGATTTGTTTAAACAATGTTGTATACAATAAAAGCTATTGTTAGTAAAGGTGTTCGTAGTACGACACGGCAGTCAAACGCTATAATTAAATTTTTTGTCAAAACGGATTTTTAAATTTTTGCTTCACGTATAAAAAACATTAAAATCTTCTTATGTGTACCGTTCATCCGCTGTGACAATGTTTGACTGTAAGCTTACTTATATGGCATACGGCACTTGCCATTGTCATATGCCATATGCTGTAACCCTCAGGTGTTCATATGTTGCTTATTACCCATTAATAATACCAACTAGAATATTTTTGATGGTCATATAACAATCATTCGTTGTAAGAAAACAAATATCAACACATTGTATTAATAAAAATTCTTAATGAATGAGTAAAATGAAATAAGCCGACAGTTCTAATTGCTTATTAACCCTTCCATTTTTTAAAATATAATATAAGCTAGTAAAAACAGCAACGATAATAACAGCAACAATAACGATGATACTTCAAAGATTATTTTTCTTTACTGAAAACGAAATACTTTTTCATTATCAGAAGACTGCCACCAATAATGAGAAAATGATCCATAATGTAATTTGTTTACTTCTTCCTTCAATGCTTCTGACTGTTTGGGAAAATTAAAAACAATACAAGTCTTCTTGCTCTTAAAACTAAAGACATCTGCTGTAATTGGTTATTTGCGGCAATGGTAACTACCATATAAAATATTTACGGCTGCCGCAAATAAATACGGCCGCAAATAAAATATGACTACCGTAAATAGATAAGACTGCCGCAAATATTTACGGCTTTCTGCAAACAGATATGGCTGCCGCAAATTGCTACGGCTGCTGCAAATTTATCTTTTCACTGTAAGTGAATGACCTCATCAATTACAATTAAAAAATTCAGTTTACTGCGGATAACAAATCATTCAAGAAAATTTTCGCATGACTAATATGACTAATAATATTAATGACAATTATTGAAAACTATTTCCTGCAGACGTAGTTATTTCCAGCAGTCATAGTTACTTGCGGTAGCCATATTTATTTATCTATTCACCATAGTTATTTGTGACAGTTGTAATTATTTACGGCAAATAGTAGCTACTAGCAGCTATTTATGGCAATGGTAGCTCCTGGCCCAATCATCTACGGCAAGTGTCTTTACTTAAAACTAAAGCCATCGCAATTTTACACTTTTTCAACACATAGTAATGTATGTGCCATGCATATTACTTCCATTGTCAGTAATAAAAGTAATCTTTTTATCTAAACCTGTTTAGTATTTCTGCTTCTAATATATTTTTTTATTAGTATGCCTAGGACCCCAGAAACTATATGGATAGGTTACCCTAAAATTTTCAAAATTTACTAACGAATTTACCCAAGCTGGTAATAATCCTTTAGCTTTAATAACCCAAAAAGAGATTATTTAAAAATTGATCAATTTTTACTTTGTACAAAAAAAATTACAAACATTCAATGAATCTTGGGACACTGATGGAAAATCACCAGAATCATAACAATTGAAATTTGAATTAGTAGCAAAATAATATATTACCTGTAAAGATTTGATATGCAAGTTTCACCTAATTCACATTTTTGTAAAAATAATCCTTCTGTAATCATTATATAAAGTATTTTTCTCTTAATAAATAAAGCATTACTTATCATCATTTTTAGGATTAATATAAATTGCATCATCCGAATAATGATAATACCAGGACCATGCAGAAATAAATTTAAGGAACTGACTTTTAACAAAGCCACATAATGATATCTTTCCTATGAGTAAAAGATGAGGAATTTGAAAATAAGCAACCCTTTTCCATGGATGATAACGGCTTCATCCAGGGTGTTGTGGAAAATTTTAGCATTTGAGTCTCTACTTGGTCCCCTTTTCTTGTGTGTGTGCTTTCCAATTGCACACAATACAAGTTGTAGGCTCTTTGAAAAATCATTCCCAAAAAGATGAAATGAATAAATCTGATATTAATTATGAACAGGGTTGGTATTGAACGTGTTCAAGGTGTGTTGTGACTTGGTGTTCTTGATGATGGAAATCAGGTGGAGGTTGAATTGGTGGTGAATTTGATTGGGATGGTTGATTATCACTTTGAGTTAGTGATCGAGATAGTGGAGTTGGAGTTGCTTGAGCGAAGGTTGTGTGGTGATGCTGTTGTTGATCCTACACTTAATATTACGTGTAGATTATTGTCAGCATATGGTGGTGGTGGATTTGGATCTACAGCTAACGCAACCCTGATCATAGGTGTCAGATTTAATAAAATTTCCCTTATACAAACAAGCAAGCGTCATGCAATTGCAAACCTCATAACTATAGAATTTTTTCTATAGGCAAGGCAACTGAACAAGTTGGGAGGCTTCAGACAAGCAAAATGCTTTAATACAATATGATTAATAAACTTTAGAGCATCGTTACCCCTCCCTAACGTTTAATTACATTCTCATATCATCGGGTGATCAAGTCAGATTAGCCTTTTTCACAAGGAAGATGTGAACAATTGTAATATTTTAAATATTCGAGTCCT